GTTGTACTTGGATTCAGGATTACATGTTTCTTTCTCTATTTCTTCTTTTTGCTTCTTTTCTTAATTTTTTTATTTCTTGTTTATCTTATTCTCTCTCTCTCTATTCTTCTAGTTATAAGAAATAGTAAAAGAAAATATAAAAATTAGTTAAATTTGTTATGCCTGTCAAGGTATAGATAAGTTAAGAGATTATTCACAAATTAAAGAATAATTAGATATAAAGAGAGGATAAGCCTATTTATAATACAGTTGAACCTTTCTAAAATAGTCTGCCTTTGAAATCAAAGAATGGCAAAGTAGGAGACATGCCTCATAGTAGTGGTAAAGAGGATTTTTAGAACAGAATATGATAGAATCTTTTAAGAAGATAGAAGTTGACAGAAGGACTAGAGGATTTTAAAAGATTTTTATGATATTTTAGAATATAATCTTCAATACTTCTTTTTCTTATTCTTTATGTCTCATCATCTTATTTATCATCTTTTATTTCTAATATTGTATCAGGGATATAGCAAATATAAATTCCCACCATACTGTGCCAGGGCATTGCAAAACCCCAGATCTCTCATATTTCCTATCTTAGAACACTGTAGAACTGCTGACTCCAATATATTAATATATAGTGGATCCCGTGGCTGGAGTACTTATTGGAGGGTTCCCTCCCAGATAAGTTACAAGAAATAAAGCATTCTTTTGGTTTCTAGGTTGCTTCACTGGTATCATTATCATTATATAGAGCAGAGTGAGGCTCCTTCATCATTGTGTTTCCTTTTATTGTTGTATCATTTTCTTGCTAAGATTATTCTAGTGCCATGTGGTATAGCAGCATCATCTTGGTATATCTATCCTTGAGATCCCTTGATCACAACCTAGTTCCTGTCACAGAGGAACAATACACATACACCCCCTTTATAATACTATTAGTATAGTAGAGGGCCAATCTCTATATTTAACTATAGATTTAAGATTAGTATCCCTTCCTATTAGATAGTTTCCTTTCTTTCTTGAAGAATCAAAGCATATCTCTATAATATAAGACCCTTAGTTTAAGTCTTCTATTCTGCTATATAGGAAGTATTTCATTTAGTTAGTCAAAGGTAGGACCACTTATCTTTGATAGTTAAAGAATATTATTACTTTTTTTCCTTTATTATTCTATTTATTATTTTCTCTTCTCTACTAATCTGATATAATTCTACCTGAAGCTCTCTTTAGTTCCTGAATCACAGCCTGTCTTGTACTATAAGACTACATATATACACCTATCTTTTCAATATATATCTTACTTTCATCCTTCTTTACTCTAATACTATATATATTATATATCCTGTTTATCTTAAGTATAAATATATTTTTATTTCCTAGCTTCTATTGAGCTATTTCTATCTACTTGTATCTCTTTCATATATATCATCTACTAAATTTCTAAAGGCCTATAGATATAGGAGTAGGATAGCTCTGATATAATAAAGAGGGATAATATAAGTGGTATTATTTGATAGTAGGTGTAGATAGATATTAAATAAGTTTAGAGTGAGCTCTAGCTTGAATATAAGCCATAAGTATGCCATTAATCTATAGCTTTAATACAATAGATTTTAATCTTAGGATCTGAGTAGTTGGATATAAGATTACTTGTGATAGAGATATATAATATATATTTAATATCTAATAGTCCTTCTACTAATATTATAAGGCTTAATCTTATTTCTCTATAGGTTCATAATATATTTATATACCTAAGGTAGCTATAATACAATACAGAGAGATTATATAAATAATATTATTTAACAGTAGGCTTAGTTAGATATTTAATAGGTTTGGAGTTAGCTTAGGCTCTAGGGATGGCTAGATAAGTATGCCATTAACCCATAGTGTCAATAGGATAGATTTTGACCTTAGAATCTTATACTGATTTCTAGAACTATAACTTATATTCTCACTCTATATTACCTGATCCTTCTCTTTTGGGATATTGATTATATATATCACCCTAGTAGGTGCTCAAGGATCTAAACCTAGAGTCTCCTATAGCTTTTTCTTATATAACCTAATCAATAGTGATACTAGTTGTGGCTATGCTTCTTATATATATTTCTCTGCTATCTTGTATAATTAATTTATTATGAGAATTAAATAATAGTATAGCTCTATTAAATATCTTTATCTTTATTTTATCTCTCTCTATATATTTCTGATCCTTAGATCTATTCCATATGGATTTACTAGACCTGATTTATATATTATATATCACTTTGATTTGATTCTATATTTCTCTTCTATACTAGTTTTATATATTATAGATATCCAATACAATCTTTAGATTATACTACTAGTATAGAACACCAACTTTAATCCTACTATATCTCCTTGTTTAGGCCACTTTAGAAAGTCAGACCTGTAATACTCTCTATAAGGATTTTCATATGAGCTCTTGTATAATTACCTTCCAACTTAGGAAATTAAGGTGATGTGGCTGATCTAGCCTATTAGGGTATTCTCATATTCCATTCTGAGCTAGACTAGACCCCTGGCAGACTGGTCCCTAAGCATTGAATAGGCTGCAGACCCCTAGATAGCATTGAACCCTGCTGGACTAAAGATGAATATAGTGGGATAGGGCTACACAGAAGTTCTATTCTAGCACTGCTATAGTATAATAAAAGATAGAAGATATAGATTAAAATAAAATATTAAGGGATGACAAGGATAGTGACAACTTAGCTAAAGAAAATAAGATGATCATGCTAGATCTAAAATATCAGCTCTAAGGTAGTTGAACATGCTTTTCACACCATTCAAAGAAATAGATCACCCCCATAAATGCCTCTGTCTGAAAAGGATCCCTCTCAACACTAAAAAGGAGATTGGCAATTGCCTTTTTATGAGGGGGTTTTTCATGAATGAAGCCTTCTTGCTGAAGATGGGTCATCACATCAGGATAAGCTATAATCAGTATAAACCAGACAAGAAGAACTCCAGGGGGAAAAAGCATTGATCTCCATCTCTAGTGCTATTTCCACAGGCTCTGGTAGGAAGTAGGCAGAGAAAGCATCCCCCATGAGGCTCAAAGTGGAACTGGTGGCGATGCTTGTTGAAGCTGGAAATTAGAGATTGGGCATGAGTACATTGCTGATGATGGTGATGATAATCCATTCCTGGCTGGGATGGGTTTACTAGGAACAAAGGCAATTAGTATATATATATATATAAAGAGATAGATGGAGAAAGCACTTACTTTGGGTCATCAGAAAGCAATAGAGGCAGATACCATACTCAAAAAACTTAATGTATGCCTTCAGCTTCAGCCTGAGGCCTTCCCCATCCCCAAGGGCCTCCCTAGCCCTAGCAGAGACCATGTGAAGCTCCTCCTGCCTGACCTGACAGAGGTCACAGGCCTTCTCATGCTGAAAACACCCCTGGCTGACCCTACCATTAAACTCCCGATTGATCAGGGACCGCCGGCACACCCGTTGTTGGAGATACTCGTGGAAGAGCTGTTCTTCGAGATCTGCTGGTTCTGGGAATTGCCCAGGCTCAAGGGGGGATGATGGCATATGACCAGCCAATCTCCCCAGCACCCCGCGCCGCACGCCCTGTAGCTTGAAGGAACTGGCTGATGCCCCATCTGGTCCCCCAGTGAATGACCATGGCAGTATGAGCAAAGTCATATCCTTCCCCGATGGCAGCTGTCCCAAGGAGCACCAGCTTCTGCCCATGGTCAAAGCTCTCCACCTCCCTTTTCTTTTCTTCCTCTGGCAGCCCGGCATGGAAATAGGCAGTCTCCTGGGGATAGGCCTGATGGAACTCCTCCACCATGCCCTTATAGGGAAGGTAGATGATCACCTGACCCCTAGGGGGGATCTGCCCAGCCTGGCGTGCATCACGGATCAGGTTCAAAAGATATTGGAAGCGGCGGGCGCCAGAGAGCCTAGGGGGGTGTGCTTGGACCAGATAGTGAATGTCAGGGCGGTTGATATCACCACGGATGACCAGGGGAAGGTGGGCCGGCAGGAGAAATTGGTGGCGGAGCTGGTCCAGGGCAGGCTGGGTCATGGTGGTGTAAAGGGGGGCGTACGTGCGTTGTTCCCTGCGACAGGAACCGGGTTGTGATCGAGGGATCTCAGGAATGGACACACTGAACAATCTAGCAAAACGATATAACGATAAACGAAAACACAACGACGAAGGAGCCTCGCTCCCGCTCTATACGACGATAACGATACTAGTGAAGCAACCTAGAAACCAAAAGAATGCTCAATTTGTTGTAACTATCTGGGAGGGAACCCTCCATTAAGTACTCCGGCCGTGGGCTCCACCATACATTAGTATGTCGGAGTCGGCGGTTCTACGGTGTTCCAAGATAGGAAATATGGGAGATCCGGGGTTTCGCAGTGCCCCCGGCACAGTGGCAGAGGCAAAGACTTTGGGGACTGGGACCTGGCTCAGGCGGTTTACATCATTCATCACCCCCCGATAGCTGCGGGCCAGGGGGATCAGATGGGCTTCGTCAAAAATAATGCGGTCCAGGGCGTTTTGGTGGTAGAGCTGCATGGCCCAGTTAATGAAGACCTGGCTGACAGCAGACTCAATGGATACTAGCACTAGCCGGGTAGGAGGGGTCTCCTCATGCCTATATAGAGCATTAGTAAATATATAAAGATAGATAGATAGATAGATAGTACTTACTGATCCTCCCAATTCACCCATGGCAGACCTAGGTTTTGAAGCTTAGATTGCAGGTTCAGCTTCAATGAAACAAGGGGAACCACCAGGACAGTAGTATGCGCCCAGGCAAGGCTTGCAGCAAGCAGAAACAGGGTGGTCTTGCCTCCAGCAGTTGGTAATGCCATGAGAAGGAATGGGGTTGGCTTCAGCAGATGGTAGAGGCACTCACGCTGTTCTGCGCTTCGAAATTCAGCCTGAGGCGTTCCCATGAATTCTTGAAAGAGCCCAAGCAGGAGGTCTGGTGCTTGAAGGCCCCTAGGGGTTTGAGGGAATGGCTGGTGTGCAAGCAGTCGCAGTCGCTGGCCTGGTTCCAGCTCGGCCAGGCGCGGGTCACCATCGGGAATGCCTTCAGTGACATTGGGGTCGATTGGAGTGAATGTGGGGGTTGTGGAGCCCATGAATGCATTGAACTGACCAATAGGGATCTTAGGGGATGGTGAAGAGGCAGATCTCTGCCACCAGAAGCGCAGGCAGGGCTGGTTGAGAGGAAAGGAGCTGGTAGATAGGCCCTGGGGGTCTTGGCTGTGGCCTGGGGGGCCTGAGGCAGCGGTCTTCCTTGATAGAGAAAGCTCAAAAAGTCGAAATCAGGCCCCATGCCGATATAGGAATGCCACCGCTGGCTGAAGTCAATGTAGGCGGCCTGCTGGTTGATGGGGAGGTTGCCAAATTGAACCTGTGGCCGGCCATAGACCAGCATGGCCGTGCGGACGCTGTGGTGTGCTTGGCCGGCTGCTAGAGCTTCATTCTCAAGCTCACTCAGCTCTGGCGCTTCAATGGAGTCCCCCTCCATCCGTTCCCCCATGCCATATCGAATGAAGCCTTGGGCGAGATGGCGCCATGAATGGATCTGAATGCCCTGGCCGATCAGGGCGCTGGTCCGATGGCGGAGCGTGTCACTGACCTGGCGGCTGGTAGGGAGGTCGCCCTGAATTGAAAAAAAGAAGACTGCGGCGGTTTCGGAGCTTCAATGCCTGATGGAGATAGTGAATGAATGGCTCCACAACCACCAGATAGACCAGTAGTATATGGGATAGAGCTCTGGGGATGGCTCGGACAGCATTCCGCTCCATGCCAGTGGTCGCCAGCACCTTACTATACCGCAGCCGAATGAGGAAGAGCTTCGATTTCGGGTCCAGAAAGAGGTTTCGGCGGTTGATCATGGAATTGGATGCCAGGAGTGGAATAATCTCAGTGCCTCGGGCAGGGGCGCCACTGGTCATGTGCACCAGAACAAGCAGATGGAGCAGGAACTTCTTGGCCATAAATAAATATCGCTCTGCTGGTAGGGGAATGAGATGGAGCCGATTTCCAGCCTATATAATATTTTATATATATATATATTAGTATGTGAATGCCATTCAGCCAGATAGATGATATACGGGAGATACTGACTGGCTTGAACCATTCTTTGGCTCGCGTAGGGTCATCCAGGATTTTTTTCACGAGATAGGGCTGGTAGTGGTGTTGGTAGTCCTCATTCAATGTTAGGAAATTGAATCCATTCCCCTCCATGGCAAAATCCTCAAATCGAGCTGCCTCCCCCAGCTGGATCTGGTTGAAAAGCTGGGCATCCTCCCAGATCAGCAGCGAGCCTACTAGGGAGTGTGCCAGGTCCAAGGTAGACTTCTGGAAAAATTCCTGGAGCTGCAGACGGCTGACACTAAGATGGTGGAATCTTAGGTGGTGGGGTGCTTGTTCAATCACCTGGTTGCCTTGCACGCTGGAGATCGTGTTGTAGTAGAGAGCATAGGCTCTGAAGGACAGAAGATCTCCAAGGGGGTAAGGAGACTGGTGCTTGAAGTAGGTCTGCAGCCAGGGGCCGAAGACAGCATGAAATGGGGCCGCATTAGCCAGCGCTTGGTCCTGCCCATCCTCTTTCGCTTCAAGGATCCTCCGGATCCATGGGGTCCAATGGTGGTTGATGGCGACCAGCTGCATGGCGTAGATAACGGCAGAGTAGGACTGGCTGATGCGGTCAATTCGCTTGAAGGTCACCTCCTGGTAGTGAATACTGAAACAGGCCAGGAACGCGTAGATAGGGCCCTTCATGTCATATGACTCATGCCTGGTGACCAGGTCAATGAGGAGCTTTTCAATGAGAGCCACCCCTTCGTGCACTGCCGCCTGAGTGAATTGAAAACCACTGGTGGCCTGCCAGGCCTGCCGCTCGAGCTTCTCGAGAACACCAGAGTCCTCAAGATCTTCCTCACCATCATCCCCCCCTAGGTCCAGGGCCAGATCGATCTCATCCTCTTCATCATTCTCACCATCAAGGTCATCACCAATATAGGCACGGGCACTGCCTGCCTGCAAGGGGCCTGAGGCCTTTGGTGCCTCCTCATCCTCTTCCGCTAGGGTGGGGGATAGTAGCAGGTCCTTGAGCTCCTGAATCCCCGCCTTGACCATGTGATCTATAGCATAGAGTCGATTCAGGTCCCTATCCCTAGGCCCCCTAGTGACCTGGTAGGGATAGCTCTCCAACAGAAAAACGAGAAAGCTGTGAAGCACGCGGGCATATTTCTGGGCACTGGCTGCCTCCTGGAGGGGTTTGAAAGGGCGCAGAGTCACATGCTCAATGTCAAAACTATTGAGAAGGCATCGAACATGGCGAGAAAGGAGAGGGATGATCTTCTGGCCTTTGGCGAATATATAGGTGGTGCAGGCAGTCAGGAAATCATGGATTCGATCTAGAAAAATATGAAAAAAATTAGTGCATGCCATATATATATATATATATATCAATAGGTAGATAGATATAGATATAAGCTCTAAATACTCTTGAACATCAAACACAAGGATACATGCATTGTTAGGGTTGTTCATTTCCCCATACAAAATATATGGCAAAAGAAACATGGGTTAGAGTGGTAGAGGTATCCCTCAGAGAAAAGAAATTAAACTCACCAGAATGCTCTAGGGATAGAGAGAAGAGATTTCTTAGCTTTGGGAGGGAGCGTTGCTGCAGGAACTCTGGATACCTGGTGTGGAGCTGAAATCCATTGAGCTCATCCCTAGACCCAGAGAGATAGATCTTGGCTTGCTCTGGCTGGGGCTTCTGGATTTCCTGGTACTGACGGAGCAGGGAATCCACCAGATCTGGGGTGATGCCAGAGTCAGGCTGCGACGAAGAACCAGGCCTAGAAATACATATTAGTGAAGGCGTAGAGGATACATATCTACATAAATATATAGACCCCACCTGGTAGGAAGACTGGCAGAGGGTCCAAAGGCAGAAGAGGCTCTCAGAGAGGTATTGACATCCCTATACAGTGAGAATCAGCAAGATATATATTCAAAATGGGCAGTGGGAATGCTCACCTGGCAGAGACCATCTCAATATCAGAGTCACTGGACTCAACCACCCTAAGAGACAGTTAGGGAATGCATAAAGGGCTTGATATATTTCCTGACCTAGGTCTTTGGGCTTGATGTGGCTGAGATGGGCCAGGAGTTGGTGAAGGGCCAGGTTCAGTGGCTGGCTCAGTGACTTTGAAATAGAATTTGTTTTTGGACAAAGATTGGGCCAATATGGGAGTCAAGCAAGCATTTTGGGAAGTTAGAGTCTTCATCTCATGGATTTTACTTGCATGGCGTTGCCCACTTTGGGCACTAAGAAAGACCTTCCCACATTCACTACATTCATGGGCTTGGAGAAGCTCCAGTCCTTGAATAGGAGGAATAGGCAGATCATATAATATCTGCTGATGGGCTTGAGGAATTCTTTGAAGCTCTAGAGCTTCAAGGGCAGCTTTATAGCTCCCTTCTTGGATTTGGTGTGTGGTAAACAGATGATCAGCTTGAAGATGAGAAACAAAAAGATCCTTTGGCACCACCACCTTGCATTCTTTGCAAAGAAGCAGATGGTAGATAGGATGATACATAATAAATTCAGGAAGGTTGGTGGCCATAGTGAAGCGTATATGAAAAAGAGAAGTTAAGCAGAGGGCTTAGAAACCTGAAGAGATAGTATAGAAATGGAGAGATAGGCAATATAAAAAGAAATAAGAAATGTTGCTGGTAGCACTTGGCTAGGGAACTAATCTGGGAAGGGGGAGCAACCATTAATTTATATTAGATTATGAAGAGTTCTAGACATTCAATATTATAAATTCAATCTCATTCAGTCTCTTAAGATGATATCCTACTAGTGGTGGCGTGAGGAACATTAGGTAGGAAGTGTTCCCAAAGTCCAGCTGAGCCATCCCCCCCACTCTATGCCATGCCCTCTATCTAGCTGCGCCACCACGACAATTGCAGATCATGAAAAATCCCTCATCTTATTAATCACACCAGCTGTTCATTTCGAATCATCTTATTCTAGGCTGAGATACCTATCTAGTTATTTATTATTACTTCTACCATCAATTATATATGTCTACTACCATGCCTAAATTACAGTAATTGCATTATAATCATAATAAAAGACCATTTCTACTTTACTACATTGGAATTTCTAATTTTAAACCTCTATATCTCCTTTTCTAGGCCACTTCAGAATATCAGACCATGTTCATTGTAATGCTCTCAATGAGTACTTTCATCTAAGCCATTATATGACTACCTTCCTAATTAGGTATAGTGCCATCATCTAGGGAGTACTACCATCACCTAGAGCTAAGTGAGAGCAGTGAAAAGATAGGTGATATGACCACCTTCCTAATTAGGAAATTGAAGTCACGTGCACCTTCTAGACCTCCATGATATCATCATATTTAATTCTGAGCAATTGGACCACTACATAGCCTGTAATAGCATTGGCCATAATATTACCCTATTTGGTATAGGGTATATTGAAAACGGCTTATGTCAGCCATCCAACTGCACCAGCAGAAACTAGACCTGATTAGGATCACCATGATACTAGTCTTACTTCCTAATATGGCCTAGTTCTTGAGTTAGGGACCTTACATGAAGTTCTATGTAAGGTCCCAGAACCCACATTTTAGGGTTTTTTTTTACTATGTGTAAGGAGACCTTACATGTAAGGAATATGACTTAGAAGAGGATAAGCCTATTTATAATACAGTTGAACCTTTCTAAAATAGTCTGCTTTGAAATTAAAGAATAGCAAAGTAGGAGACATGCCTCATAGTAATGGTAAAGAGGATTTTAGAATAGAATATGATAGAATCTTTTAGAAGATAGAAGTTAACAAAAAGACTAGAGGATTTTAAAAGATTTTATGATATTTTAGAGTATAATCTTCAATACTTCTTTTTCTTATTCTTTATATCTCTAATCATCTTATTTATTATCTTTTTATTTCTAATATTATATCAGGGATATAGCAAATATATATACAATATAAATTCCCACCATATTGTGCCAGGGGCATTGTGAAACCTTAGATCTCTCATATTTCCTATCTTAGAACACTGTAGAACTGCTGACTCCAATATACTAATATATAGTGGATCCCGCGGCTGGAGTACTTATTGGAGGGTTCCCTCCCAGATAGTTACAAGAAATAAAGCATTCTATTAGTTTCTAGGTTGCTTCACTAATATTGTTATCATCATATAGAGAGGAGCAAGGCTCCTTTATTGTTCTGTTTCCTTTTATCATTATATTATTTTCTTGCTAAGATCATTTAGTGCTGTGTGGTATAGCAGCATCATCTTGGTATATCTATCCCTAAGATCCCTTGATCACAACATGGTTCCTGTCACAGGGAACAACACATGTACACCCCCCCTTTACACTGATACTGACTGAGTAAGGAATCCACCAGATCTGCAGTGATGCCAGCCTCACACTGCACTGAGGAACTAGGCCTAGCAATATATCAGTAAAGGTATTGAAGAGAGAGTGATATATATATATAGAACATACCTGGTAGGAAGACTGGCTGGGGGCCTCAGAGAGGTAGTGACATCCCTATAGAGCTAATGTCAGCAAGACATATGTCAAACAAGGGAATGGGAATGCTTACCTGGCAGAGACTATCTCAATGTCTGAGTCACTAGACTCAATCACCCTAGGAGAGAGTCAGTGAATGTAGATGAGACTTGAGATTGATCCTTACCTAGGTTGTCGAGCATAGCGTTGCCTGGATGGCCCAGGGGTTGGTGAAGGACTTGGAGCACCTGCCCTGGTAGGAGTATGGGGAGGGGATACAGCCAGTACTTTGAAAAAGTATCGATTGGGCTGCAATGACTGGGTGTTGGCGTCATATAAGGTAACAGGCTGACTTGACCCTCTTAGATGCTTGTGCTCAGTACTGAGATGCTGTTTAGCCTTAGTAAGAGACTGAAATAGGCCACCACGGACACTACATTCCTAAATTTGGGAAGACTTCAATCCTTCAATGGCAGAAATAGGTTGGTTGGCAAGTATCTATTGATGGATATTAGTGATAGGGGATAATTCAAGCTCCTGGATAGAAGCCTGATAGCCAAGGTCAACCATTTGATGCTGAGTAATCAAGTGGTCTTTCTGGAGGTGCTCAGTAGCCTTATTCTTGGGAATGGCAGTATGATATTCCTTGCAGATAAGGAGATGGAGGGTAGCATGGTAGTGGTAGCAGTCAGGAAGGTTGGCAGCCATGTTGAGCAGAAAGTGGAGTAGCAAGGAAAGTAGAGAAACAAGCAATATCAAAAGAAAGAAGAAATAGTGCTGGTAGCACTGGGCTAGGGTACCAACCTTGGGGGGGAATTAAGCCCCTATTTATCTTAGAATATGAAGAGCTCTAGGCATTCAATATTATAAATTGAATTTCTTTCGATTTCTGAAGATCATATCATACTAGGGGTGGTGTCATTTTGGGATCCTCAGGTTCCTTGGTTAGGTGGTGTTCCCAAAGTCTGGCCAAGCTGTGTCCCCCACCCTGTGCTGTGTTCCTGATGTTGCTGCACCACCACCATAATTGCAGATCATGAAGATCCCTTATCTTTTGTATCACACCATATTTCCAGCTGATCCCCACCTCCTTGCATCACCACCATAATTGTAAATTATGAAGGGTCTCTTATCTTTTAAATTGTAGTATTAATTAATATAAAACTATATTATTCTGAGCTAAGATCTCTATCTCCTTATCAGTATTACTTCAACCATATTATATATATAGTACCTGCAGGTCCCTGGATAATTGCTCTCTAGCCATTGAATTAATGATATATCCCTAGATAGCACCTTCATAACCATGATACTAGCCGTAGATACTGAGAGAACTACTTGATGAGTATGAAATAGCATCCTTATATAGATAGAACTTCCAACTTCAATCTATCATACCTTCTTATCTAGGCCACTTCAGAAAATGAGACTATATTCATTGTGATATGCTAGATGAGCATTTTTATACAAGCTATCTCAAAATTACCTTTGTAATCAGGGTTAGTGCTACTATGTCAAGACCACCACCATCACCAAGAGCTCAGTGAGAGCAGTCCAATGGTATATGACTTGGCCACCTTCCTAATTAGGAAATTGAGGTCACATGACCCCTTGCGCCTATTATACCATGCTCATATTCAATTCTGAGTTCAATTGGCCTACTAGATAGCCTATAGCAGTGCTATCTAGATATTACCCTATCTGGCTTAGGGTTAATTTAAACCTGCTTATGTCATCAATCAAACTATACTAGCAGAAACTAGGCCTCATTAGGATCACTATGATACTAGTCTGACTTCCTAATACGGCTTAGATCTTGAGATAAAGGATGGGTAAAACCTGTTTTTACCTATCATGGTGGACCCACTTTTCAAACCTTATTTTGTACTATACCTATGATGGGTAATTGTAGAGAATATGCTTAGTGCTATCTAGATATTACCCTATCTGGCTTAGGGTTAATTTAAACCTGCTTATGTCATCAATCGAACTATACTAGCAGAAACTAGACCTGATTAGGATCACTATGATACTAGTCTGACTTCCTAATATGGCCTAGTTCTTGAGATAAAGATGGGTCAAAATAATTTCTGACCCATCTTTTTTAGGGTCACTACCCATTCTAATTTCCCACCAGACCCAAGTTGGGTCATTGTACAGAATATGACTTAGGGTTGTGATCGAGGGATCTCAGGAATGGACACACTGAACAATCTAGCAAAACGATATAACGATAAACGAAAACACAACGACGAAGGAGCCTCGCTCCACTCTATACGACAATAACGATACTAGTGAAGCAACCTAGAAACCAAAAGAATGCTCTCTTTTTCGTAACTATCTGGGAGGGAACCCTCCATTAAGTACTCCGGCCGCGGGCTCCACCATACATTAGTATGTCGGAGTCCGCGGCTCTACGGTGTTCTAAGATAGGAAATATGGGAGATCCGAGGTTTCGCAGTGCCCCCGGCACATACTACCCCCCCTAGAGTCGTGACGTCCTCGTCACTCCTATTCCACAACCTTGTAGACCTTCGAAACCCCAGCCTCAGCCTGCTCTCCATTGATTAGGTGCTCCAGACGCTCTCGTGCCTCCATGGTATCCACGCTTGCCTCCCTCCGAGCTATCTCCCCTTGTGCCCGGCGTTTGTTTTCGATGAAGTTGTCCAGATCGATGTCCCGTTTCTCTGCAATTTCTGGGGTCGTCCTCCTCCGCTTCGCGTGCCAAGGCGCATGGTATGCCTTGTCTTTTTCTCTGTGGCGATGACGAAGGGCTTCCTGAGGTCGGTTGACGGAGGTGAATCCCTCCCAGTTGTTGCCCTTTCAATGAAGGCACTGATGCCTCCCACCATCCTGTAGGCTCCTATCTTCCTTCATACTTTTGTATGACGGTCCTGAACATCAAACCTCCGGTAGCTCCCAGCTATCAATTTAGTGCCAAAAATCCAAAAACAGAGCAGGTAGAATGTAAGTGCAACATATGAAATATACAAATAATGAATGACATGGAATCTAATTGTTGAAATCGTTCCGTAGCTGTGTGTTGAATCCACCACACACTACTACCCCCCCCTTTGAAAGCAGATGCCCTCATCGGTAGAGGTAGCAACGTGTGGGAAACTCCTGAGATTGCGTTCAGATGACGACTGCAAAGGACTCCCCCTCTGGGATAAGGTCCTGCAGTCTCCAATCGTCATCATCTCTGTGACCCATGGATTCTCCCTCGTCCTCCGACACTGAGGTGGTACTTTGCGCGCTCGAGGTCTCCTCTGGCAGAGGCAGCGGCTTATAATAGATCTTGATCCGGTTCCCGTGGACAGGATAACGGAATGCTGTGCCATCTAGCTCCTCAATTTTGTAGGAGCCATTTCCAAGAGCTTCCTGAATACGAAATGGCCCAAGCCATCGAAATCCAAGCTTGTCAGAGTGGGATTTGTTTAATGGTGTATTGTGTACCAACACCAAATCCCCCTTTTCTAATGCATGCAATCGAGTATTCGTGCGTTCATTATAAAGCTCTCGTCCTTTCTCACGGAACCGGACAATCCGCGCCTGCGCTTCCTGTGTATCTTCGTCACGTCGTTCAATCTGGCGAGCTCGTAGAGCTAGGAGCTCGTCACGTGTTTGGACCTTATGCCAAGGCAGGGTCCTCCAGGTCGGGACCTCCACCTCCACCGGCAACACCGCGTCGAAACCAACAACATAATGAAACGGCGACATCCCAATCCCATCGCGAATGGTGACTCTTTCTGACCAGAGGAGTGCTGGGAGATGCTTGTCCCAGCCCTTGGCAAAACCTGCAGTGAGCTTTCTCAGGCCAAGAATGAACATGCGATGCGCGACCTCGATAAAACCATTGGCCTGCGAATTGTACGGTGAGATTGTAACGTGCTTCACCTTAAACCTCTTCATAAGCTCCCTAAAGACCTCCTGATGCTCTGGGCCATTGTCACTGACCATAACCTCCATACAGCCCCATCGAGTGATGATATTGCGGTAGACAAAGCTAGCAACAGTCCTCGCTGTCACTTCAACCACAGCTTCAGCTTCCACCCAACCTGAAACTGACTCTCGAGCTTGAACCAACGCACATTTACCACTACCTCTCCGTGAGACGTATGTGGTGTCAATGTGCCATTTTTGGAAGAGCCCCATGGGCTGGGTTGCCGTCATCTCCTCACCTATCCGAGTCTCAGCCGCTCGCTGACATGGGTCACATCTCTGGCACCAGTCCTTGACATCCTCCCAAACCCTTGGCCACCAGTATCGCGCTCGAACCTTCTGATAAGTGCTTTCCCTGCCACGATGACCGCTATCATTGTGTAACGCGTGGAGAATCTCCCTCTGTCGCTTGGGATCATCAACTACTCGCCGTACTGGCTGGTTGGCTGCCATTCGCTTGAATAAATAGCCGTCTTGGACCATGAAACCTAATGCCTTAGCTCGAAACCGATGGTATTGGGACGCATTCATTCCCTTTGGCCGTTGTAGTGTCTGTAGCCACTCTGCAATCTGGAGGGACTCTTCAGACCATTCTTCTTCGTTGGTGAGCCAATTAATCCCACCCCCTCCTTCCTCTGCGTGCCTTTCATTGTCTTCACTATGTGAGGTGTTGTTGACATGGAGAGTAAGGTTAAACTGCCTGTCTAGGAACTCCTCCATATGCTCCTGTTTTGCTTCCTCCAGTGCTTCCGGGGTAACTGGCTTCCTAGATAGCCCATCTGCAGCAGAGTTCTTCACTCCTGACACGTGCTGTACTGTGAAATCAAACATCCGAATCCACGCAACCCAACGAGTAACTACCGCGCTAGGGATATCGGTAATAGTGCGGTTCAGTTGCGCAACCAGCGTAGCTGCATCCGTTTCCAAAACAAAGGGCACCCCATACAGGTACGACCGAAATTTCTTGAGCGCCATCAGAACTCCCCGGCATTCAAGCTTACCAGCATCATAGTTTAGCTCTGTTCCTGTCCAAACGCCACTTTCAAACCGGGCTGGATGCCTCTTCTTCGATCTGGGTTCCGCCTGCATAAGGACTGCTCCCCAACCTGTTCCACTAGCATCTGTTGCCACAATAATATCTCCAACCTCTGACATGGTTCCATCAGATAGCTGTACTGGGTACTCAATTGACCTTAGGGCTGGAGCAGTTGTGAGTGCTTCTTTAAGTTGGTCCATTGCTTCCTGCTGTGCTCGCCCCCATTCAAATGCCGCTCCCTTTCGTTGCAGCGCATATATCGGTTCAGCTATTTTAGCAAAGTCCTTGATCCATATCCGATAATATACCACGACACCTATGAATGCCTTCGTTTCTGTGAGGTTCCTGCACCCAGGCCAATCCAGTATCTTGGCCACTTTATTCGCCTCAGGGTGCCGTCCGTTATAGTCACACACATACCCAACCACCTTGACCGCAGGCTGGCATAACATTAGCTTATCTCCCGATGCGGTGAGCCCCGCCAACTCCAAGTTGTATAGGGTTCGATCGATGTTGCGAATGTGCTGGTAAACATATCGCCGAATCCCAGGCATAACCTCTTCCTCATTATACATAGTCTTTGGTCCCTTTACCGCAATATCGTCAACATATGGCGATGCAGCCCTTCCTCCCGGTCCTGGGACCTTAGGTTTCCAAACTCGTGGCTCTCCACCTGGATCTGGTGGGAGGTGCACCTCATCCTTAGTATCTGTGGTCACTATGTCCGCAGTTCTGCAGAACACTGGCACCGCCCCTGTCCAGCCTTGAGTTAAGGTCATCTGCCGAACTAGGCCCAATGGCGATTGGAACGCCGTCATATCCCTTGAACGAGCATCTAGCGGAATCTGGTCATACCCTGAGAACAGGTCTATCACTGATGTTATCGCCATGCCACTGTACTCTTCCGCGAAATCATCTGCCGAAGGGGGAATATTGGCATCTTTCAATGTGACCCCATTCATCCTCGTGCAGCTGTTTATCAACCGATATCTCCTCTCCCCATTCGGTCCAGCGTTTTTCGGCACGAGGAACCACTTATTTGAGTATGGGCTGAACGCATACTCCAGAACCCTGTTTTCCATCCTCTCCTGGCACATCTTTGCCGCAATTGGCCTCAGTGCCCTTGGTACTGGGAATCCTTTCTCCTGCCATGGTTCATGGGGAACTGTCCGTATCACCACTGGCGGGCAGACCTCTTCGCGCACCTGCCCTATCTCCGCGAACGACCAAGCTAGAGCTGCTTCCCGCGCATATAACACCTCCATAAGGAGCTCTCTCTCCTTTGGTTTTATCAACCCTATTTTTAATCGTGTCACCCGTTCCGGTGTCAACCGTGACCCTCTCGCGATCCCTGATATTTTGGGAATGACACTCCTTTGAAATTCCCCTTTGACCTCCTCCACTCTTGACCACTGGCTCGAATAATACTTCTTCAGAACCTTCAACCGCCAGTCCCCATTTCCAACTGGTGCCGCCCCTGTTGGGTCAGGTTTGTTTACTGGCAGGACCTTATCTGCTTTCCTTTTGTATTTGGTGTGTACCAAATACTGTTTTCTCAGTGTCACCAAGTCTACACGCTTATCCTTCGCTCTATTCCACCTCCATCCCAGCAAAGGGCCGGCTGGAACCGCACTTCCCGTACTGGAGCCATTTTCTCCCACTCCGCAATACTCATGTATGTTCATTCTCCAACATCGCGTGACATAACATCCGCCATACTTTGGTATGATGGCCTTGAGCCCCTCCGTCCGCTGGGTCCTGGGCTCGGTACAAACCCAGCAGCTAGTTTCCCGGCTCCTCTCCAATTAACCTCCGATCTTCGAAAACGTCCCTCCGGGTCTCCATCCTACGCGTTCCGGGGGTGAAAACCTTCATTCTCGCGACCTTCGTCCTGTCCATTGAATAAATCGTTGTGATGACCGCCCCGGAAGCTGTGTTCGTGTGCGCCATACGGCTCATGTGTTCAAATGGCCTCCCCAGCACCACTGCATGTCCGCCGCGCGTGTCCACAATGAAGAAAGGGACATAATATTGGAAACTCCCAATCCGTACTGGTACCCGCTCGCAGATTCCAACAAACGGCGTGAGACCTCCGTTGGCACTTCTCATCGTTCCTTTGGCGTGCAGAGTGACTGGCAGTGCATGTTTTTCTGCTAGCCAGGCTTGCATCACATTGATTTCCGCACCTCCATCCAGCAATGCCTGAACCCTTTGTGGATCCTCCAGTATCTGGATCCACGCCGCTAGAGTTTCACAGACATATAACGGAGGTTCTTCATCATCATACCCCGTTTCTTCCAAATCCATCTGGTTCGCCTTGCGGCTCCTCATCCCTAAGTTCCCCACTCGCGCAACGACCCCTGGGTCTGTTCCTTTGCTGAATTCGATAGACGTTGTCACCGGCTGTCGGGTTCCTGAGAACAGGCTCCGATGCAGCCCATCAGACATCCCTAGCAGCTCCTGGAGTGACAATGTCACCGTGGTGTTCAGAATCCGATTCCGTATGTCCTTAATGTCCGTTGAATTCTTCAGCTCATCCGCCAATTTGTTAAGCCTAGCTTTCGGAGCATCTTTCCTCTGGGGGACTCTTGCTTTTGGGGCCCCAAACGATCTTCTTAAACCTTCCTCCACATCCCTAACTCGGTAGTCCGGTCGATCTTCCATCTCCACATCTGCGTCAGGTTCATCAATTTCCTCATATCTTCCTGGACGGACTGTCTTCAAGATGGGAATTTCTTCTTCCCTCCTAGCCACATCGTCCAGTGCACGTCGCTTGGGGTCTGCACGCCCCTCTGGGGTTATCTTTCTCTTTTCCGCATTGACCAGCGCATTAACCTCCATTTCAACAAAGCTTTCCATAAATCCTTCTTCATCTTCCTCCTCCACTTCCTCAATGTACGCAGTTTCTTTTAACATGTTGTGTACATAACCCATTGCACTATTTCCAGTCTGGTGCTGTTTTCCATATTCCTCAATGGACTCCTTCATGCTCTTACCATTGGTAATTACCCTTACCACCTCTCCGGCTCCTCCAATTGGTCCATAACGGACTTTGGCATCTTCAGCAATATGGCATAGACCCTGGGCAGCCAATGCTTGGTACCGTGGACATGTCCCCCGTATGTTGGTGTGACCCGTTTCCAGACAGAACCGGCATTGGTCACCCGCGATTGGCACATAGCCCCGTCGGTTGGGTATGTCATTTAGCCCATGTCTTCGGAAGTCATTCTGTCTCACCTCCATGAGGCTGATTTCCATTTTCCTCATCCGTTCAGCCAGGTCATCTAGCGTTTCCTGGTGTCTCGTTCCCGGGGCTGTTCTTGGCACCTGCCGCTTCCCTGTAGACACTGGTTCTCTGTCCTCTGGCTGTCGTTGTTCATCTGGGACTCGCCCATCTGGCTGCACAACTACTAAGCTATGCGCAGCTGACACTTCCCCTGCGAAGTTCACATGCTTCCCTTCACGACCCTGCCGAATTAACTTTAATCCAGCCACTTCCTCCAGATATTCTTCAACTGCCTCCCGGGCCCTTGCGAACTTCATAGTCTCGAACTTCTGAGGGCTAATCTTCGCCCTCCTTACCACTTCAACCTGCACCTCCTCCGGCAGACCCTGCAGGAACATCTCTGTTCTCAAGAATTCCACCAGCTGGCCTCGGCGCATCAGTTCACCAGAGACGTTGCTAAATTCGCGAACATACTTGGTCAAGTTGTCATCTGTTGACCGTTTCTGAGCAACAAACCTGCTAAGCCAGCCTATGTTGAGCTTGGCCTGTGCTGAATCCTGGTCCCGATACTCCTCTAGGAGCCGCTTCTCCAATCCTTCATAGTCCTTCCTCTCATATTCAGGGAGACTCTCTACCCACTCACACACACTTACTGATACATAATCACACAGGGCACTTATCTTGCCCTCCTCTCGCGTGATTCCATGGTTCCTAAACAACGAATGTAAGGTCCTCAGGAATTCACTGACCTCCTTACCATTGAATGTTGGGGCTCCAGAAGTTCCTCGCAACGGCAGACCTCTGGGTGTCCCCAACAGTTTCTCCAACATCTGCATCATCAACATCGGCATGCCTTCCGGCTGCCACATTCCAGACAAGCTCGGAGTAGTGGGCATTGCGGCCGGCGCCGGTATTCCCTTTGCATCTCCCGGTGTAAGAAGTGGGCTCCCTTGCTCCACATGCACCGGGAGAGGTCGATGCTCCGAGCGGTCGCTCTCTGACGACATCTCCTTACCAATGTAGGCAATACCGAAGTAAAGCCGTCTCAGGAGTGTGGAACTGCTAACTTAGCTGAATTCAGAGTTTTCACTACTCCCGTACTCTCCCGTGTCCCAATCTCTCCGGGAAAAGCCTCTCAGTTGATTATTTTTCCCAAGAATCCCTAGCCAGGGTGCTTCCCACGCGCCCTAGAACCCAAAGCGAAGTTCGCAAGCGCCAACAAGCGTAGGCCTTCCCGGGGACGCCAATATGTAAAGGGGGGCGTACGTGCGTTGTTCCCTGCGACAGGAACCGGGTTGTGATCGAGGGATCTCAGGAATGGACACACTGAACGATCTGGTAATGAAACGATATAACGATAAAAGGAAACACAACGACAAAGGAGCCTCGCTCCGCTCTGTACAATGATAACGATACTACTGAAGCAACTTAGAAACCAAAAGAATGCTCTATTTCTCGTAACTATCTGGGAGGGAACCCTCCATTAAGTACTCCGGCCGTGGGCTCCACCATACATTAGTATGTCGGAGTCCGCGGTTCTACGGTGTTCCAAGATAGGAAATATGGGAGATCCGGGGTTTCGCAGTGCCCCCGGCACAGTGTTGTCTTCACTTCGGCCATCCCTGCCTCCCCAGGAACAACCATCCTTCCTCAGGATGATGAGGATTGGGAACTTGTCATTTTCCCAGATGTTGAGCCAAGTGGCCAGTGTGGTGGGACATCTACAACAATTGGTGGGCCTGGAAACGGAGCATGCCAGAGTTTCCAGACAACTGCGTGTCTGAACGTGAAACTCAATGTTGGAATTGCTAGTTGCGATTTTCAATTCAAAACGGATTCTTGTGATGGACCAACTAAAGAAGAATTTATCCAGCAGGGTAATGGAGACAATTATCATGTACCAGATGTTAGATTTGTTACAGTTGATTGTGAAACTGAGTGAGAAAGGATCTGTTGTTGGGCCTAGAGTGCCCATCTAGCTGGCTAATGGCTATTCATATGGTATAGTGGGGAGACTGCAAGCCCAAGGTGTGTGGGTGTATCTTTTTTTATTTTCCTTCGTTCCGTGGCTTGCTGGGTGATGCGGAGCTGGTAGTAAGAAGTCTGTGTTGATCCTTGGCTGGGGATCTGTGGAATCCATGTATTAAGGAAGAGGTGCCTCCATATGCTCAAAGGGGAACAGCAAGGAATTACGCAAGGAATTGATACTCTTGTTCAGACCTCTTATTTGTGTTCTGCTCATGCTAGTGTAGCGGGGAATCAGGTGACACAGGGCATGTACGGTGGATAAGACGTGGAGGGCTTAGGGTGTGATGATGCGGAGAAGAGACGCAACGTACAGAACACGCACGAATTCGAGACGTTTCGTTAGGGAAGAGCTCAATGACTGAGCTATGTACGGGGCACGAAGCCCATTCATCTTGACTGTTGTGTTGTGTTGTCCATATCTTCTCCTTCTCCCACCTATATTGATCCGCGTGTACTGACCAGGCTTGAGTTGTTCCCCCTGTTCACTAGCAGTGGCATTTTCTTTCTATACTTCTGCTAACCGCTAAGGACGTCACCATATCTAGGACTAGAGAGGTGTCTCCCTACAGTGCTGGGAGCTGCAGGCCTGATAATGTAAGGACCTGAAGATCGACCTCCCTTTCGCTACTGACCACCCCTCCCTCCACCTATCCACACCTTGTTCCCGTCGAACGGAGCTATGCGCGGTGCTTTCCCAATACAATGGTTGTCTAGAAGAAGGGAGATGGAATGGGGGTATAACACTATAACTCTAATATTGACAGCTATAATCAAGCAGATAAAAGTGTGACAAGAGACGCAGGTTATGGCAGCTAGATTTTGGGGATGGATTGATCTGGACTTGACGATTATGTTTGATCTTTAATGGGTATGCTTTCTGGGCTAGAGTTGATAAGCTCCTCGATATTCTCAGGCCCATCCATGATACTCACATTGCTTCTGAAAGCTCCAATGCCCATCTGGGCTATGTCAAAGGTCGTTGGAGTCAGATAAAAGAAACTGAAATATCATAATGCCTCATATGATCTCCTCAGTATGTACTGGACTCGAAGAGCAGTGCAACTGCTGCTGATTCATCTCGTTGCCTTCCATCTGGATCCTAACAATGTCCATCAGGCATTCAACGTGGGTGATCAGACGACCATATTCAAATTTATCAAGACCCATAGTCCGTTGGAACGCCACGTAGGAATTCAGCAAGCTCTTTTAAATTTCAAGAGGTTGAGAGGAGGGTTTGAAAACAGTGGACTTTGGGAACTGGAAGTTGTTGAGGACTTATATATGTTCTGGCTGTTTGCTTAGGAGTACTTAATCCAGCTGGCGGGCCTTACCATGCGGTTTTTGGAGACGCCAGCGAACTTAGTGCCACCAGAAAGGGCATTTTCGACCATGAACCTTACACATACGCAGCATCGGAATCGGTTGAGGGTTGAGAGGGTAGATAAAATATGCTATATCCACATCAATTGTAGAATTTTAGACCAAAAAAGGAAGTGGAAAAGCAGATTAATCAATTAGATGATGAAGAAGCTATTGATCTCAAATAACCGCTACCACAGGTCATAGAGGCAAACGATAGTGGCAAATTGATCGACAGAGAAACGCTGCAAAGAAAGCAGGATGTCCAATATGTGGCCTCGTAATATCTGCAGAAAATTATGAAAACTTACAGTTAATTCACCTGTAAATTATATGTGTAAATTTACAAAAATTTACCAATGCCATCCCTAATTAGAAATACTCCACTAGGGTGTGCCGTGCTGACACACGTCACATGCTTTGCCTCCCATGGTCAGTCTTTTTTAGGCCATGCATACACACCACTTCCTTTCCCCTCTATATCCTACATACCTCCAGGTAAGCCAGTTCTGACAACATAACGCTTCAGCACAGCATCTCACCTCTTAAGAGACCTATTTGTCCTGAGCCCTACGACCAACCATGTCTGCACCTCAGAAACAGACTATCGAGCGCCAAGCAGTTGAGACGGATACAAGTCAGACACAAGTGGCAAAGCAGGAAGCCCCAAGAGGTACTGTACCTGTCAACAAAACCAATCCTTGATCTCCATCCGAACTACATCACTAAATTCAGCATCCAAAAGGTCACCATTCTGCTGGTATAATAGGTGGATCTGAGTGTTCTACCAAGAATCAAAGCCATGGCAATCCCAATTTCACTAAGGGTGCCCATATTGATGATGCAGATTGGGATATAGTCAGCAGCGCGGAGGAAGATGGAAAGGCTAAGAATCAGCCATGTGGCGGTTATTCTGGACATTTCAACATTGATGTGGGTTGGGGCAAATGGAAACATAGGTTGTATGAGAGCAACTGGAACTTTGGCCATCATCATGATAATCCGGAGGACAAGCGGTAAAGGTCAGAAGGGATGATACCTATAATTCTCCTAGTTAACAATTAGCCTCTCGATTCTTTCCCGCCTAAATGTTCAGTTCTCGCTGAATTTTGCTTGCTAAGTGGATCTGAGCAAGCCCTAAGCACTCTGACTACACTTGAGTCGTTCACAGACCTTCAGCGTACGAAGAAACTGTGCTCATATTGATGACCTCTGGTTGTCAGTGGTCAGTGTTTAGTAAAATAAGTACCCCGACTTACTCAACATCACGAGCGAGCCATACTGTAGGAGTAGTCCCAGAACCGAGTTTACCAATAACCTGGTATTGGTATTTGAATTTAATCACATCGCCAATATTAGCAGGATAATATTGCCCTTGTTTGAACTGCTCAAACTGTTCCTCGTCAAGCACCTCCCAGGGACAGACAGTTGCGAAGCCGCTGGTGGGAAAGCATCAGGGAGGGGAGGGACTCCGTCGAAGCGCCTTTGTGGCCCATTTCATGAGTTTAGCCATGATGGCCGTGTGGAAAGAGAAGAGGCTGATCTTTGTTGAGAAGACTGGAAGAGTGAAATCACCGGCAGTGATGGATAGCCAGACCCTATTTATTAAGACCACCATGTATCTAACGTCGAACAGCCTGATAGTACTCGCAAAGAACGATCAAGCTAGTTCAAATAACAGTTTCAAACTCCAAAACCGGTCCACAGTACACCTCCGAATCAAAATCCGCTACCCGCCCAATCTTCATATACCCATGACAAGGCCCACCCTGGTCAAACACCAAGCACTGAGTGCTTCCTTCGTCAAAGCTTTTGGCAGGGTTGCTGAGGTACTGGCCGACGGCCCCGTGAAGCATCGACGGTAGGTTATTGGTATTGCATTCGTTACTTGTGATGAGAAACTCATACTTGACGTCTTGACTCCGTCCGTAGACCTTCCTGTCAGGGTCGTCATTGAGTGCGGTGTTGATGTAATCAGTTACTGCTGTGCGGATGCGGAGGACTGTCTCTGTGGCTAGTTAGTATCTATGTATTGTTTCCGTGTCATGGTTGCTATGCTCGTGTTTGTAGCTGTTGGTATAAAGTTGCCTCTTTGAGTCAGATAAATATATCAGGTGGCGTACCGTCGAATGGAGGAAGATCCCACGCCTGCACCGATGCTGCGTACGAGCACAGCAGTGCAGCCAGCAAACCACCCGTCAGTCGCATATTGCTGTAGGTAATTTTATTGACATGTAAATAGCACAATGTATCCGTGTAGGATTTCAAGGACCAAAAAGCAATGGCGCAAAGCTCTTGCTCTTCATAATTTGGCCCGCCGATCGGGCGTCAGCATACATAAAGGTGGTCAGATGATCTCCAATGGTTCGAGAATATCCTGCTACGGAACCAGAACTCTCTTATGATACAAATGATACGAACTGCTGCGAGAAATTAGAATTCATGGCGAGATTTAAGTGTAATGTTCCCTGTATGTAACTCATACGTATACTCTGCACTTTATTTAACACAATGCAGATCCCATATCAAACATCTTGATGACATGATTGTTAGGGCTAAATACACGGCGCTTTTGCCGCATGTCACCCAGATGATGTCCCAATCTTTTCTCAGAGATACCCATTGGCAGAATTACCACTATTGTCTAGGACCTTACCGATGGAATAACTTTCTGACAAATACAAACTGCCAAGTTTCAGGGAACAGGAGTGCCTGGCTTCTCCAGCATCGGCGAGGCCTGCAGGATGGTTTATTTGGATTCTCCCAGACTGAATAACCGAATAAACCAAAACCTGGGTCTGTAATCATTCCAGGTAATGCTAAAGCTCCGTTCTCCATTGTATAGAATGTTGTACTTCGCGTTGGCCTATGTTGCGCCTATTGGCATATACTCTGACCATATTTACTCCATTTCCTCTCTACGAGGGCAGTATATCAGACCCGAGGACATTAGATGCCGCCTCCTTCCATTTGACTTGCAATAGGACATATACATTTGGTGAGGCAAAATTGACCCTCATAATAGTTTCGCGAATCTGCATGAAGCAATCGTAGCCGTCCACGTCAGTTCCAGCTTCACTGTTTGCTTCCCCTAACTTCCAATCCCCATTCATTTCACATCGTGATTGCGGGATTATCTACAACTACTCTACAGCACGCTTTCTGCCTTCGCCTGGGGACCAGCATAACTCTATATACTTGAACAGAACTTCTGCACTCGGTATGTGTTTCTTATACATATATAGATCCACCGACAGACTCTATTGCCGTGTTAATTCGACTTCCTGGACCCTAGTATAGTAAATATATATTTCCGACCGACGATGGCAGATACTACCTATATCTTCCCTGTAAGATGTCCCCAACTGGGATTCCTGTGGAGTCTTTGCCCAATGATGAACCAAGGTGTCCTGGAGGTAGGATCCTTCGTGGCGGCCTCCACCTCACCTGGTAAGTTGACTTTTGTCAGATAATGATCTCCCCTAAGGTGTATACTGACTTTCTGCCACTAGTGGCCTCTGCATCTCTCCAATCATGAACATTGCCTCCGCACTGTTGAGAATCTAGAGCAGGATAAGGAACATATGGACCAGCGTATCCAAGCGTCGATGCAGAAGCTAGAACAGGTGAGCAAACGCGAGAGAGTTGCGCGACTACGCATGGCAAGTCCCGAATCGTACTATTCGAGTAGCTGGAGGGCTTCTGACCTGTTTTGTTTCCTTTGCGAAGGTCCTCATGGTCAGTTCTGGTCGCTTAACTGTTCTTCAGCGGTTCTCCGGCTCTTTATGCGAATCTGTTGTTAGGCATAGATTAACCTTGGTGGTCATGTGACAAATCTCCTTTCCGCGTAGGACGTCGCCATTGCATTCTTGTTCTCCTTGACTCCCTGCACGATTGGAATGGACGGGTTGACTGTCCTGAATGTCGCTGCCTGTGGAATCGCCACCAGGACTGTGATGTTGCTGGCTCCGTAATTCCCAGCATATTTGCACCATTGGAAGAAGTAAAGTGATGTACGTGTGTGTCGAACCCGTGGCAATCCTGTCAAGTGAAAAGGGATTGGACCCCTATCCGACTGAGGGAGCCACACCCAGGCCAAATGGCGTCTGGTGGTAGATGCGGATGTCATACAGGAGATAGGACATTGTCTGTGAGATTATCTGACATAGGCTTGATGGCGGGTGCTTCCACAAGCTAGGGATAACCCCTGGTGCTACCCCGGATCGTTGGATTGACCTAGTTGCCCACTGGAACCCTGGGACCTGTGTATGGATACACTGCATTGACCATGGGAATGGCACACACCGCGACCGGCATTTAGCTATTGCTCGTTTTCCATCCCATGCTTCTTGGAGTCTACCCAGCTACGCGCAACACCATAATTACCGCCAAATAGAACGGATTTTGAGCCGATAGTCTCACAGATGTGTTATGGTTGGTGCCTCCTTGGTTCTGGAGTGGTGAGGGGTGTGTAGTGGATGCCTGAGTAAATTCATGTGACGGTATATTAGCCATCATCATCACGCTTATGGCCAAACCACACGGACATTGAGGGTGTTTCCTGTTCGGCTTCTTTCAAATCCAATCCATAATTGATATCATGTCCGAATCCCACTTGCCTGCTAATTGAATTGGATATATGGCTTCACCCGAGCGTAACCGCCTCACTTCTGACTATGTCAAGCATTTGACTAAGTATCGCCCAAGATAGAAAGACATCCCCCATCTAGGATCCGACCAAGGGTACCGTAGGAACCGGGGAAAGGGGGGCCATCCCGTCTCCCTGCCTCAAGCCCTTCACATGTCACCTTGTCGATGCGTTCGAAGAACCGGGGCAGAAGGACATCCCCAGAGGAGACGAGAGGCATCCCGACAGTTCCCGTCTGGGCTTGATTGGATTGTTGTATTCAGCGGGACCGGTATTGGTACCCTATTTCAAAGCATTCGCAGGGGGGCAAAGAGTCCAGATCCCCGGCGCAGTACGGAGAACAGCCATTCCTCGAGCGGGGGTTACAAAAATTGGGGGATCAACAAGAGGCACAGAAACTAATGGATTGGATGCAGGAGCACGGCACGGAGGGCCGCCGATAAATCTGTCCTGACGTAGTCAGCCATGCAAGGGATGGAGAGGAAGAGATACATGGAACGCAACGCTTCGTTCCTTGGAAGGTAGGCACGCCTACCCCTTACCCCATCCTGAATTGAGCCGAGGGCTTTTCCAGAAACGCCGTACTTTCTTTATATAGCGAGAGCCAAGCTCTTGGCGAGTAGGTCGTTGAGTAGTTGGAAGCAATCAAACTTGCTCCACATCTGGGACTCGGATGAGCGACTCGCCCCGACACGTGACCGGTCCTCCAGCGTCACGGAGTACTCCGTCGTAGTGGCAGCTTTCTTATTACTGATCCACTCCAACACTGACTATTTACTGATCCACCCTAATACTACTATTTACTCGGGAATCGTCGGGTGAGATCTTTATCCAGTCTGCATGTCGCGTGGTTCTGCAGGAATTTCATCCTCGATTGATCGCGCACTACAGCTGTCGTGGGAGACTGAGATCGCTACCAGTGGCACCAGGCCCTTGCCAGCACGCGTACTTACGACTTACGAGGATTTCCAATGCTACGGAGTGGCTGATGGCTTGATGTTAATTTCGGGCTAAAAGGTGCGCACGACTCGGTGGCAATACATTATAATATACAGCTGTACGGCGCGTGTGCTAATATAAATAAATTATGAAGGCCGCTCCTCCGACCGGGCGCCACCAGCAGCAGCGTATATCGTATGACTCGGAACAACCATGGATCGATGAAAGGGGGTTTCTTCAGTTCGTCATAACACCAAGCTCTGCCTCATCACTGCCCTAGCAGCAAATTGCGGGGAGGCGACCTGACAGCGCCAAGTACGAGATGGTGAAATAATAATGTGATGCTAACGGAGTACCTGCGGCAGCGAATTGACTTGTCCAGCGCAAGCCAGAGCAGCAGGCCGATCGCCGTATTTAATAGTTTCGCTATCTCTGTTGATGCATAGAGTTTGCTGGTCCCGGGCTAAACGCCGCAGAACCAGTGATAAGTCACTTTTAAATGGCATAGATGGGAATGTCTCATATTCGCTTGGCGCTCTGTCAAAGCCCTGGTGGACTTGTGGACTTGGTGGCTGCAGCGACGCTAAAACAGGGATTCACGCCGTTCCTCGTGATGTCCCTTTCTTTTTACTCCTGATGTGCCGCTCCTCTTCTCTCATCTCGACGGGGTTCGTTGTTCTTTGTTCGTGTTGTGGTTAGAGTCGCTCCTTTCCTACCGTCTTTCCCTCAACGCCCGCCATTCGTTTACACCAAAAGAAGAGAGAGTGAAAGATAGTATCGAGCTACTCTCTTATCCATTCGCTATCAAACAGTCCGTTCGTTCTCTATTCTAGCACCGCTGTGCTCGCCGTTCATTCCCCATGGCTCTCCGCCGAATCTCTGCCGCTCTAGCCCTATCCGGCTTTGCAGGATGCTCTCTCGCTGCCAGCGCCGAGGAATGGGCCTCCCGTTCGATCTACCAGATCATCACTGACCGTTATGCCCGCTCCGATGGCACCTCGGGGACATGCGATCCCATGAAGTACTGCGGTGGCACCTGGAAGGGTCTGGCCGACAACCTCGACTACATCCAGGGCATGGGATTCACTGCTCTGCAGATCTCGCCCATCACCAAGAACCTGGAACAAAACACCATCTACGGTGAGGCATACCACGGCTACTGGCCGCAGGACCTGTACACCTTGAACGCGCACTTTGGAACGCCCGATGATCTCAAGAACCTCGTGTCCGAGCTGCACAAGCGCGACATGTACCTCATGGTCGACGTCGTGTCCAACGAGATGGGCTACGACATTGGAAACAACACCATGTCCAACAGCACGCACATCGACTACTCCGTGTTCAACCCCTTCAATTCCTCCAGTGACTACACGCCTTTCTGCCCCATCGACGACTGGCAGGACAGCTACCAGCTCACCAACTGCTGGCTTGGTTCCAAGGGCGTCGCCACCCCGCGCATGAAGACGACCGACCCGGCCATCAGCAAGACCCTGACCCAGTGGATCGAGGACTTGGTCGGCACGTACAACGTCGACGGTATCCGTATCGACGGCGCCAAGCAGATCGAAACCCCGTACATGGAGGCCTTTGTCAAGAGCGCCGGCGTCTTCTCCATGGCCGAGGTCATGGAGGGTGACGCAAAGTTCGTCTGCAATTACCAGCAGTACTCTAGCGGACTGGAAAACTACCCGTACTACTACCAGATCATTGGCGCTTTCACCGCAGGAAAGATGGACGCTCTCGTCTCCATGGTCAAGGATGTGCAGTCCACGTGCTCCTCGCCCCAGTACCTGGTCAACTTCATCGAGAACCAGGACAACGCGCGCTTTGCATCCGCAGGCGGTAACCTCACGGTGAGTTGCCTCCAGAAATATAACAGAAAAACCTAGGCTAAGCAATTCCAGCTCGCCAAAAACGCCGCCGCATTCACCATCCTCGCCGACGGAATCCCCAAGGTCTACTACGGCCAGGAGCAATTTCTCACCGGCGAGTACTCTCCCTATAACCGCCAGGACCTGTGGTCGACCAACTACGACACCAACGCGCCCCTGTACCAGCTCATCGGCACGCTGAACAAGCTCCGCAACCACGCCATCTCTCTCGACGACAGATACGTCACCAACACCTCCACCATCCTGTACCACGACGGCTCGACCTACGCCACCCGCAAGGGCCCGGACGGCGTCCAGATCGTCAGCGTCCTGTCCAACCAGGGCGTCAACGGTGGCGCATACAAGCTCGACATCGACGGTGCCGCCCAGGAGGGCACCAACCTGACCGACGTCCTCTCCTGCAAGACCGTCGTTGCCGGTGACAACGGCACCATCACCATTGACATGGACAAGGGTGAGCCTCACGTCTTCTTCCCTACCTACCAGCTGAACGGGACCGGTTTGTGCGGAAACTCCAAGTCTGCCACTTCTGCGTCTTCTTCTTCGCCTTCCGGTACTTCGACTTCCGCGACGGCTACGAGCACCAAGGACAGCGCTGCCAATGGTCTGAGCGCGTCGTTCGGCCTGATGGGTCTGGGTATGATGGGTGTTGTTGGGCCGTTTTTGTCATGAGGCCATGGTGATTGAATAATATCCATTGTATGCTTAGGATTTGATTTTCCTTCTTCACTCGCTTTTTCTACTTAACTTTCTTGGACTATATATTTTTGTTTTATATATCTCTTCTGGTCTGTGTGGAGCGGTGTTTTACATAGCGCAGACCTTGGCCATTTCTATTCCTAGTGTTTTAATCATGTTCACAGATGGGCAATCCTGGTAATTCTGACTGAAAAGTGAAGGGAAAATAGTCCGAATAAAACTTGCCATTTGATGCAGGATTAAAATGACGGCTTCCATGTCTACTGTATTCCACTTCACCAAACTCTACATCCCTGTGTCTTACTATATCTCCTTTCTAGACCATGCCGAAGATATACAGACTGAACAGGAAAAAGAAGCACACGCGGTACGGAATCTCCTCATAGCCTATGATACTGGATTACATTGTCGATCCCTTCCGCATCATTTCCGAGAACCTAGCCATATCCAACTTTTTAGTATGTACTCGTTTTGCGGCCTCTACCACTACTATTCAGGATGACTGCGACCAGAACAACCCAATGCCTGCGGAACACAGAAACAGTCCAAACCATTTCAATCCCGTCCTGGCCCTGCGGCTGCAGGGTTCCGTGGCTGAGACGGCAGGGCTGTATTTCTTATCCGTCCTGTAATCTTTCCGCGCGTGGAGTTGTGGACACTGCCGCGCTGACGAGCTTAGCTTAGGCTGCTCCGTTGATAAATATCAGGATAACCTCGTGCTCGTTTCTCGTTTCTCGTTTCTTGTTTCTCGATTCTCGGTTCCTGGACATCGGACACAGCCATGAAGCCAACAGCACCATGAAGCCCCCAATCTCACTCTCGTTGTCGGCCACGCTCTTACTCCTCACCCTCTACCCGGCCAAATCAACCGCCTGGCTCCCCTGGAGCAACAAGAACATAACCTCAACCAACGGCACAAACCTCTTCGAACAAACCAACGGCAAAATCCGTGGCGTGAACCTCGCCTCCCTCTTTGTCCTAGAGCCCTGGATGGCCCCCTCCGAATGGTCCTCCATGGGCTGCGCAGACACAAAGTCCGAATTCGACTGCGTCCTGCATCTGGGCCAGAATAAGGCCGATGCCAGCTTTAGACAGCACTGGGATACGTGGATCACTAGGGAGGATCTCCACAATATCACCACGCTGGGACTGAATACCGTGCGTGTTCCGGTGGGGTATTGGCTTTATGAAGAGTTGGTGGATAGGGAATCGGAGTATTTTCCTCGGGGCGGGTGGGAGTTTTTTGAGAGGGTTTGTCGCTGGGCGGCGGAGGAGGGCGTTTATGTTATTGTTGATTTGCATGGGGCACCGGGGGCGCAGGTTGCTATGAATCCTGATACGGGGCAGGTCTGATTTCTTCTTGCTGTACTCCATGAGGGTTGTGATATGCTTGCTGATGAGTATGGGCTATAGTACGCACCAAGCCCCGGCTTCTACAACGCCTACCAGTACGACCGTGCAGAAACCTTCCTGGCATGGCTCACAGCCCAAATCCACAGTAACAGCAACTTCAGCACGGTAGGAATGATCGAGCTTGTCAATGAGCCTATCCAGAATCCAGATCAGGTGGCGTCTATGCGGACGGACTTTTACCCAAATGCCATTGCAGTATGACCATCCCCAAAATAAGACCCTTCTGAATGAACGATGAAGTAAAAAAAAAAAAAAAAAAAAAAAACTAACGAAAATAGAAAATCCGCTCCAAAGAAAACACTACCGTCCCTAAAGCCTCCTACCTCCACATCCAAATGATGTCCAAAAGCTGGGGCTCCGGAGACCCCAACCAAGCCCTAACAAACAACGACACATCCTACCTCGCCTACGACGACCACCGGTACCTGAAATACAACACGTCCATTGCCATGACAAAGGACAGCTACCTCTCCGCGTCGTGCGGGGAGAATGCGTCGGACGCGCAGGACACGCCGGTCGTCGTGTCGGAGTGGTCTCTTAGTCCTGCGCAGGCGGTGGAGGGGTCGAAGGCGTGGGCTCCCGAGAGTAAGTCCAATAAGAAGTTTTACAAGAAATGGTTTGCGGCGCAGGTGCATGCCTTTGAGAAGGGGGCGCTGGGGTGGGTGTTTTGGGGGTGGAAGCAGGAGTTGGGGGATTATCGGTGGGGGTATCAGGGTATGCTTCTCTCCTTCCTTCTCTTCCCTTGGTAGTATCTCCTTCATTCGGGGGATGCTTTATCTGTGCTTAGGGTTGAAAATGCTGTGCTAACGCCGTGCTAACTAGACGCCGTAAACGCCGGCGTTATCCCTAAGGATCTTGGATCTGTCCTTGATATGAAAGTCTGCAGCGGACAGATCAAGAAACAGGTGAGAGAAGACACCACAGACACCGTACATTTGCATTGGTTTAATTCCGTATAATAGATAACTCCTTCCGTGCGCAACATGTTGGTGATATGTTTGGTCATCGCTATTTCCTTTCCGCTCATGAAATGATACGATGGATGACCCTTCGAACACCTCGATTAAACACCACCCATACCTATCGCTATGACATATAACCTATGGCCCATGGCCTAATTGACATAATAAATAACCGCATGAATGACAAATGGGGCTTAATATTGATCCACGAGAACACGAGGAGTCGGCTCGGGCGTTTGCATCCCGTCTCTGCAGTCGTTGATGTCAATATCGACATTGCCGTGGAAAGGAGTAATGTTGTTGTTTCTGTCGGTTTCATTCTTGTTGCAGTCGCAATCACCGTTGGCATTGGCAATATTCTTATCCTCAGAGGCCTTGTTTTCAGAACCCTCCTCCTCCTTCTCTTCCTCACGCTGCAACCCCTCCAACAGCGAATCGATGATCTCCATACTCCTCCGACTTGTCAGATCGGGTCTCTCGAAAACTGCCACCTCATAATTATTATTATCCTCCTGGTTCCCATGCTTCTCATCAGCATCGCCGTTATTGGCATGAGCATTGCCGTGCTCGTTGACACTGGCTTCTGGATGACCCCCCTCCAAGCCCGCTCAGTCATATCATTCAACCCCGCAAATGACGCAGAATTCGCATCCCACCTCGACGCAGCATAGCAGCACTGCCCGGACAGCGGTGTCCGCTCACCCGGCGTTCGGGACGGGGTCGTTGTGTACGAAGATTCATCGATGTCCTTGCGGGATGTTAGGGAGCTCGCGGGGACGTAGTTGTATTTGTCTCTTTGCTGGGCTGCTTGACTCTGGGGGTATTTGGTGGGGTCGTAGAGACAGGTCTGCCCCGACGGATGAGGCGTTTGGTCGGGTGTTCTGGAGGGCGTGGTTGTGTAGGAGGAGGCTCCGATGTCTTTGCGGGAGGAGCGGGAGGAGGCGGGGACGTAGAGGTATTTTGACATTTCTTTTCCCTTGTTATTGTTGTTTAAATAGATGATGAGTAGAATATGGCATATCGTAGCATACCAGATAGTCTATGCTTAGGGTTTATATATCAACGTTTTTATACCCAGAAAGATGCATGACTTCATAGATTATCACGAGCCACCCCCCGGACCGAACGCCTAGACTCTTCTGGACTTAGTATCCATTCCATAGGCATACATACATTAGGTAGACATAATGCTCATTACCATTATTGTACGCGCATTATTGCATGATCCTGTGATACTGCTAACCCACTAGTCCGGAACAGGCTAGTGGCAAATCCCGGAAGGAAACCTACTCCGAATGCCCGACATGGCCCGAATCCCGGGTTTTCGGCCGAGACTAGACCAGATTCAGTAATTTGGACTTTTCATTTTCTATGCATAGAAACAAGCAGCTATAAACAGTCGTAGTAATAAACTAAAATGACACGCAGAACTCACCGAGTAATAGGTTAAGTAGGAGGATGTCAATGCGCTCTGCAGGTAGAATAATAATACTGATTAACCTACTTAGTCCGTAGTCGGTGTTGCTCAGACCTCTCTCTCTCTCTCTCTCTCTCCCTTCTACTTCAGCTCACTCCGGAACTTCGAACTTTTGATTGTAAACCCCTATCTAACCAGAGCATTTCTTCCATATCCAGCAAATCCTTATATATATATGCCGAATATACCATCTATCCAAATACCATCTCAAAATACCCCTCCAACTACGCTCCTATAGACCTACTCCTGATCCAACCGCGGAAACAACATCACCTCCGATACCCGCCCCAGGATATTCTGCATGTCCCAATCCGACCGGCTGCTGCCTTCGGTATTCGCGCTCGCAATCGAACTCCTCCCCGCCACGGAATACGGTGCCGTCGACGCGGACGTTGCCGTCGCCGGATTGTCCTCCGTCGATGGCGGTGAAGGAAGCAGGACACCCTGACTGTTGGTAGGAGGAGGTCCCATAGCAGCAACCACGGGGGCTCCAGGAGCCGCCGTGGACGTCGACACCGCCGAAGATGAACCCTTCATCTTCCCTGCCCGGAAGGCCGCGCTGACCTTCCCTAGTGCCTGGAGGGACGAGGTGAGGTGGTTCGCCGTCGTCAACGTGGTCCCGCCGGCGCTCGGGGCCCCCGCGCCGCTGATGTGGTCCGTCAGCACTGCTTGCAGTTGCTCGATCAGGCCCCAGGTTCGGGGATGCGATTGGCCGTGCTCGTTGGCCACCAGCAGAAAGGCCGATGCGATGGTCCGCTGCAGACTGATCCACGACCGCGAACAATGTGTGTTGATCGAGTGCAGCTCTACGAACGCTTCGATCGTGCTGATCAAGCTCGCAATACAATCCTCCCGGATCGCCACCTGCCGTTCCGACTGCAGATGTGAGGTGGAAGAGTCTAACGCCGATCGGCACAGCACGGAGATGACATACGATGAGTGGAGCTGCAGTTCCGACCGCTCGATATGATCCGCAAGAGTCGTACACTTCTCGCGATGACGAAGATGAGGCACCGCTTCCCCGAGGATCCGCTGCATCCGTTGTTGATATTCACGGATCTCATGGTACTTCCCCCGTGGATGGGGTGGCGTCATCCGTCCCCGCAGCACGTCGAGGGACAATTGGATTACACGGCATAATGTTTCAAAATAGGATCGATACCCGGGCATGGACTTCCGATGGAAGGGAATCTCCGGTTGACTGACCATCGTGATCGATGGACGGTCATATGCGAGCGAAAAATGACTGTTCTGGAAGGCCATAGCCCACCTAAATGGAAAGACTCAGCGCGCTACTCACGTGAGTCCAAGGAGGACATTCTTACCAGATCCTCCTCCGGACATCCTGCTGATTTCCCGAGTACTGGGTGGATTCAACATGGAGCCCGAGATTCATGCACAACCTCTCCGTCATGCCTGCCGCCAATCAGTACCAACCCTAAAAGTGCAGCAGTCTGCCTACAGGGAAATTTAATTACTTACCGAGCAAGGTATAGGACGCGCCGGCGTTCATATTATAGGACAAGACATTACTGATGATCAATAGAATTTGGACTACCTCTAATGTGGGCTGTGCGACGTAATTGATCATACGCAGACAATGATATGAACAGGAAACTAGACACGTCTGCGTGAGCAGTGATGTCAAGCGAAGGAGGGGGCTAAACTAACCATATACCCAGGATGTCAATTCCCTTTCGTGCCTGGGGGCATCGGACAATTGGCAGCCAGACGCTAGGACGGCAAAGAAAAGACCGAGAAACGCCAGACTGACGCCAAATGGCTTGATGGGACCGTCGGGATCGGGCCGGTAGATACCACCAGCACGCGCACGACCCTGGAGCAGTTGCTTCGCGGCTTGTTCCAGCCGGGAAACGTCCGGTAGCACGGGATAAAGGACCACGCCGATATCTCTGTAGAAAGCCAGGTACCTGGCATTGTTTAGAAAGACACAATGGCGCGCGCGATGGGAAAAAAAAATACCTGCAACACTGTTGATCGTCGGGCAAGACCCCACACACTCCTGCAATGTTGAAGTTGAACGGATCCGACGACCACAGATCCACGAAGGGGTATGCCGCAGACTCATTCCCCAATGCCAGATCCGCCAGCAGGTCGCCCTTGGGTAGCGCTTGGGATATCTCATCCGAGGCGCGTGAATTCTCCAGAATATCGGCCAAAGCGGACCGCGAGCCCACGTGCACGCTGTCAGGATCGAGAGCACTGGGCCCGTAGACCGTCTGGGGTTGCGGGGAAGGTTCGCGTTCGCGTTCGCGTTCGACCTCGGCCAGTGGACGGGACGACGACGGCAGCGGTGGTTGTGATGACCGCTGGGGTTCCCGGGGCAGACTCGACTGGTTGTTTAGGCGAACCAGCTTGTACAGACTGTCGATGATCTCCTCCATCGCAGTGACCTTGCTGCAGATCTGGTCCCATTCCTCCTGGGGCAGGCTGATGGGTTCTGACGAGACGGGTGCCGCATTGTGCGGTCTCAAGGACGCAGGAAGGGATGGATAAGGCTCGCGAGGGTTCGCGGGCGCGTCAGAATGTGCATTGAAAGACGCAGAGCGTGCTGGAGACTGGGAGGTGTGCTGTTGCGCAAACCGTAGCTGCGGTGCATCGGTAGACGTAGCCGTCGGGGTTGTGGTCGTAGCAGCGGCGGGTTGAGAATCCGGGGGAGGACGGCCGTAGACGCAGTTTGCGGGTTGGCTGCGTTTCACACAATTGCCACACGGCACATTGCGATCACAGCGCACCTTGCTGGCGCGGCACGGCAGGCATGTTTTGCACTCGCGTGGTCTGCGGCGGATGGGATACGGAGGGGGCATTACGCGACGGTCAGGTTACGGGGAGACGCAGACGGAGCGCGAGAGAAGAGGGGGAGACGGAGGAGGGCGCGGCGAGCGACATGTATGACGATTCTTCGGCCGATCGAAGAGGACGTATAATAATTAACTGCGGGAGAATTTAGAAATCAAAGATGAACGCGGTCCGATCCAGCATGACGGTGGACGCCTTTAGGAATGCAGCGACTCAGACAGGATCCACATGGCCGTTTTTGTTGATATACGGAAGATGCAGCCGAGTGCCGGTATATGGCGTATATGGCATATGGTCAGAGTATTGGCATATGGATCCACGTACTGGCATACAGCGGAGGCAATAATAATCACCAGATAATTCTCCATCGTTCTGCCATTTTTTGTTAGTACACGTGAGGTTCTGCCGTCCTAGACCGCCCTCGCTACCTATCTCACGGCACAGGCAGGCCTACCTAGTAATACGACCATACATGCGCCTATCCATTAGGTTATGAGCCCGTTTTAGCTCTACGATATTGAGCTTAAAAAAGCCTTTCAGATAGGCTAAATTGTGACCTCTCATTGGTCAAACCAGAAATCGAGCGCTTCTAAGCGACTCTGAACACCAGGACCGCCAACAATCGGCCCCTGAACCCCAGGATCCTTCGATCGATCCCATCCAAAATGGTGGTGCCTCGAACGCCCCCTACCACCGCTAGACGTCACCGTCGTCAGCCAGAATCCACAGATCCTTCATCAGATATAGGCTCCTCCGCCTCCTCAGTAATCTCTGAAGAAATGGACACCCCAACTGCCCCTAGAGCTCAAAGCTCTACTACAGCCAACACCATGGCATCCACACCAGACATCACAGCTCTGTTCCAGCAGATGCAGGAACAGATGCAGGAACAAATGCAGAAGCAGATGCAGGAACAAATGCAGAAGCAGATGCAGGAGCAAATGCAGAAGCAGATGGACCAGTTCATGACTCGTTTTAATGCCCTTGAACGCCATCAATCCCAATCCTCCACTCCTACAGTCCGGCATAACGCTACTCCCTACAATCATATTCAAAATAATACAGCTATTCCAGCCTCAAATCCAGTACAAAAAGATCCTTTTGATCATGTACAAGCTCAAGTTAAAGCGCTCCTACCAGACCGATGCCGAATCACACTGTCTCATGATAATTACGACCCCTGGAGTTCAGCCATTCAAAGAGAAGCCAATGTCCTGAACGCTAGTACAGTCTTGCATCAGGATATACCTCCAGCAGGATACTCAGCTTATGATGCTGAAGTATGGCATTGCAAAGCCACTGTCATGAGAGCCCGAATGCTTCATGCTATGACTGCCCAAGCCATTGACAAATTGGGCAACACATATGACCTATCAGCCCATGGTTTATGGGACCGAACTGCTACCTTTTTCGGACGTTCTACTGGTGAAGAACGAATGCTTCTCATAAAAGAGCTCAAGGAGCTCTATATAAAAGACAATGACTACCTATCCTACCAATCTGCGTTTACTAGGATAGTAGACCGCCTTCATGCTATAAAAGAAGCTTCATTCGACAACCTTATTCATGACCTATTTTTTATAGGCCTCCGCGAATGGAACAAAGCATTCATTAAGAGTAAACTTGATGAAGTATACTCAACTGGACAAGGCCCTGTCATCAATCTGGACCTACCTACCATTCAAGCTCAACTCTCTATCCGTATGGGCACCCAAGCCCGTGAATCCCTGCTCCCAACACGGAGGACGACGAGAGAATCTATCCGGACGAAGCTATTCCAAACAAGCATCTAACCCCATTGCTAGCTCTTCCGCCTCAAGTTCCAACACTAAATATAAACCTCAGGACCAGGACTCACGCAAACCAAAGACCCGTTGTGATTGGTGTGGTCATTTCCACCCAATGCCTTGCCTCTACAAGAACCCTGAGAAAGCCTCTGAGCATTGGCGCCGAGCCAATAAAAATACTATTGAAGCTATTCGTGCTTTACACACTGCTAAAGAATCTTCCACTGCTTCATTCTCTGAAGCAGAAACCAATGAACTGGTACCATGGACTTCTTCAGCTGCAAAAACAGCCATTGCTAAATCAGCCCAATCTCTCCAAGCTTCATGGTATCTTGATAGCTGTGCTTCATTCCATGTTACACCCCATCAAGCTTTCTTCACGTCCTATAAAACATTGAGAAAGGAGGACCTTACTCCAGCGGATTATATTGAAGATGCTCAAGGGAAGATTTCCAAACCTCATGGTATTGGCACCGTCGTCATTGATATTGGAACCGGATCCTTGATCCTTAGGGATGTACGACATGTTCCATCCTTCAATTCCAACTTAATCTCCATGGGAATGCTTCTCAAACAAGGTTTTCGTATCGAATTCCCTTCCAGCTCTCAAGTAGCACAAATCACAACCTCTTCTGGTGCAGAATTTGAAGCCATTTTGAATACCAACAATGTATTCATCCTATCAGATTGCATTTCTCCCAACGAGAGCTCCTATGCCTTTGTCACCACCCGGTCTGGCAAAGAGGCCAACCAACCAGGGGACCCTCCCAGAAAGAAACCTACAACATCCCCAAAGACTAAGAGCTCCAAAACAGCTCTACCAATTATGACATGGCATCGCCGTCTATGCCATTTAAACCAGCAGGATCTTTTACGCCTTGCCGCAGATCCTACATCAGACATTGAAATCAAAGGTTCCAAAGAACTACCACTTTGTGAAGCCTGCATCCAGGGCAAGCAAACTCGCCAATACAGCAAAACACCAAGATCCCGTATGACTGCACCACTAGCCCGAGTCCACATAGACCTTGCTGGTGGCGGCCGAACACTAGATATAGAGAAGCTAGATATGCCTCTACCTTCACGTACAGGAGCCAAATATGTGATGCTTATTACTGATGACGCTACACGTTACCGTTGGGTCCACTACCTAACTGAAAGATCTGCTGCAATTGATGCATTTCGGGGTTGGCTACAACAGATGAAGAATCACCATTTCCCTGCCCCAGCCTATATTGTCTCTGACAATGAATTCTGTTCAGCTGAATGGCAGAAAACCTACCGTCAGGAAGGCATTGAATGGCAACCAAGTTCTCCATATTCCCCTTGGCAAAACGGTGTCAGTGAGCGCAGCATACGCATACTCTTTGACCGTGCTCGGACATTAATGCTTGACGCTCCCCATATACCACAGCGATTTTGGGTTGATGCTTTAAAATATGCATCAGATATAACAAACCGCCTCCCAACATCCACAATCCTATTCAATTCACCTATCCCTGGGGGGGTCAATACCAACACAAAAATCAGCCCAAGCCCATATAAATCGCCTCTGGCTGCCTGGACCAACTCACCAACTAGTATCAACAAATACCGACGTTGGGGCTGCCCTGTCTGGGTTCATCGACATGGCTCAGATAAGCCTATAAACAAGTTCGATTCCCATTCTAAATGCTGCTTCATGATCGGCCAAATCAGTAGCCAACAATACAGAGTGTGGGACCCTAAAACAGACGCCATTTTTTTCAACCAATGACACTATATTTGATGAAGAATATGAGGATCCCACAACTACACCTCCACAAGCTACTGTTCCTGAAGATCCAAGTACTCCTAATAAAGAAGATACAAACCAACCCGTTGAAGATGAAGACCAGGAAATATGGCTTCGACCCGCCAAAGGCATGTCCCTAGCCTATCTCACCGCTTCAACCACTCCTTCATCTGAAGATGACACGCCTACTTCCTATAAGCAGGCTATATCTCATCCTGATGCCACCAAGTGGCAAGCAGCCATGCAAAAAGAAGTCAACCAACTCAAAGAAAAAGGCTGCTGGCAACTTATCCGCCGCTCTGACCTACCACCAGGGACCAAGGTCATCCCTGGCCGGTGGGTATACAAAAAGAAAGAAATCCCTGGTACCCCTATTACAAGGGACTACCAAGCTAAAGCTCGCTGGGTGATCCGTGGAAATCTACTTGACAAGGACTTCATGGAATCATACGCCCCAGTGGTAGATGAAAATACCACTAGAACCCTTACAGCACTGGCCACTCTACTTGGCTGGCATACTCGAAAGGCAGATGCCATCCTTGCTTTCCTAAATGGAAAAATGCCCACAGATAAACGTGTCTTTATGACCCAAGTTCAGGGATTCAAAGAAGGCTCTGGAGACCTGGTTTGTGAACTCCGCCAGTCCCTCTATGGACTAATCCCATCTGCCCGTATCTGGTATGATACACTAAATGCTTTCTTACGACAAATTGGCTTCAAAAGCTCCGAATACGACTCTGGTCTCTGGATCCATACCACCCGGACCCAACTCTATGTGACTACCCATGTGGATGACTTCAAAGTCTATGCTAAGCATGAGAACGATGCCACTTGGTTTATGGAGTCTCTTTCTGCTAAATTTGACATAAAAGAAGTTGGAAACTCTACCAAATACCTTGGCATGGCCACCTCTCAATCCAAGACCACATATACTCTCTCCCAGGCCAATTATGCTGAAGACGTGGTTGCCTCTTTTGGCCAAGCACAAGCACACCCTGTTGGGATCCCCATGGATCCTAGTTTAATAATTGATGATGACCCAGACCCTACAGTGAACATCAAAGAATATCAACGTGGTGTAGGCTGCCTTACTTGGCTAGCCACCAAAACCCGACCTGATCTTAGCCGGACAGTTGGCGTACTATCCCAATATCACGCCAAACCTACCCAAAAGGCATGGCGTGCCCTTATACACGCTATACGCTACCTTAAAGGCTCCATTAACCGACAAATTACCTACCATAAGGCCACGGAACCCATTACATCTGACCTCCTCATGCCCAGATGTTATACTGATTCTGATTGGGGTGGTCAACTGACAGGCAATCGCCGGTCAGTATCTGGATATATATTTCTGCTTGCCGGGGCCCCAATTGCCTGGAAAAGCCGCAAGCAAACGTCCGTTGCACTTAGCTCCAACGAAGCTGAGTATATGGCTCTAAGTGAAGCCAGCCGAGATGCCCTTTGGCTCCGGAACCTCATCAACGAGCTCAACGTGCTCCCTACTGAATGCCCGCCAATTACTCTCTATATCGATAATCAAGGTGCACACGCCATGGCTGAAGCTGAGCTCACCACCAAGAGATCCAAACACATCGATATACGTTACCATTACGTTCGGGAGAAGATCCAAGACGGTATTGTTAAACTCCAGGCCTGCCCTACCAAAGAACAAGCAGCAGACGGCCTGACCAAACCTCTCCGAACTGAACAATTTGATCATTTCCTACAACTCACTGGCATAAGCTAAGCCGCGTATATCTCCCCCATTTTGGATATATTTTCTATTTTGATATACGGCATTCGATTGGCTAAAGCAGAACCTTCATTCCTCTGTTTATTTTTGCATATATTCACTCATTTGAAGGCCCGAATAGAGGCCGATTTCTGTATTTAGATTGATTCCATAGTTTGTAGGCTGCTCGTGCGTGGGGGGGTGTTAGTACACGTGAGGTTCTGCCGTCCTAGACCGCCCTCGCTACCTATCTCACGGCACAGGCAGGCCTACCTAGTAATACGACCATACATGCGCCTATCCATTACTACCGCCTTGCTGACATCGTGTCCCCGTCGCTCAAACTGTCGACAACATTCTGAAGACCTTACAAGATACATTGCTCTTGCAAAGACTCTTCTTGTCTCATTCAGAAGACCTGAAGTCTCCCTACTCAAGGTTAACCATTGAGAAAAACTCCCCACTTATCTTCAGACCACATGACTGACTCGGTAGACGTGCGCAGAATGTTGAACCCTCCCTTGACCGTCATCTCGCGTTTCGGATCCTGTCGTAACTGGATCCTGGGTCTTCTTCACGTCATCCAATTCCCTTCGGGACTTCCTGTTTTTGCGAGGTCTTTCGCGAACTATGGACTCCGCGGAACTTCAGGACGGTACTTGCCATCCTCGATGGGACGTCCTTTATTCCGCTGCAGGCTTTTCCCCACCTGTTCCAGAGACTATTAGCGATCGAGCCAGCGAAAAATGCAATATGCTGAACTCGGGTGGTGTCACAGTACTGAGACTATCTCCCGATATGGTCGTGAAATATGGGCCACATGTTACCATCACCGAAGCGCAGAGCATGATTTTTGTGGCAGAGCACACGAAAGCGATCCCTATTCCGAAGGTTTTCGCGTATTGTACTTATGGTCCACTCAACAGAGACATCGACGACTACGGGAGCCTTTTTGACACCTACATATTTATGAGTCTTGTTGAGGGTCAAACTCTCGACTTAGCTTGGGACTCATACGATGAACTGACGAAGACCCATATTGCGAATGAGCTAAAGACATATATGGACGAGCTCCGTGAGATCAGAAGCGAGTCCTACATTGGGTCTGTCAACAAAGGACCTGTCAGGGACCAGATTTTTGACAACTTCCACGTTAAAGGTTCTCCCCCTTACATTGACGCTATAGGGACCAATTTCTGATTTATTATCTAAGGTCCCTTTGAATCAGAGGAGGCATTCAACGAAACAATCATCGACGCATATCAGGCAAACTTCCCAAGGCGACACATCAGAAGTTTCCTTGCGGGCATGCTCTCCCAGAAAAGGCACAGAGTTTATTTTACTCATGCGGATTTGCGTCCGCAAAACATCATGGTGCGAGGCGGGAGTATCACTGGTATTATTGATTGGGAATTGAGTGGTTGGTATCCAGAATACTGGGAGTTTGCAAAAGCACTCTACGTCTGGAGGTGGCAGAACGACTGGGTCGATTACTTGACCAAAGCCTTGGAACTGTATTATAATGAATACGCTGTCCATTCGTTCGTGGCCGAAGCCTTATGGTGACAAAGATCTTGCTATCGCTGAAAATATGATTCAGTCTTCCCATCGATAGCTTGATCCAACCCATCCATCCTCCAACTGTTGGCAATTCCACAGACAAACATGGGAAGTGTTCCGAAAATTCAGATCAAAGTAGATCTTGCTTCCCCTAAGACGTCGTTGACCCAGTTAGAGCAGTTTCTTGGCGGCGGGCTCGGATTGCTCTCCGTCAACGCTCAGGGATCGTGTGGGGGTGGGTGCTTCGCGGCAATTTCCTCAAAAGCTTCCAGCTTTGCTTTCGGGATCTGAAATTGCAGAGTTGAATTTTTGAAGGACTTGCTTGCCCCAAAACGGTATCCAGGTCATCTTTCATAGGTCATACCCATTCCGAGGTCCCCTTTGACATGGTAGAATCTTCCCGCGGTTTGATCCTGGTTCTGGGCAGGAACCAAGGCGATGCCCTCGTGGTCTGGACCACGCGACTGACCCTGTACACGTTGTAGGTCGTTGTCTCCGTTGACATATTGGCAGAGAATTGATAAGAATCGAGGGTCAAATCCGAGAACACGAGTCAGATGGAAGGACGCTGGCGATTTCAGTAGTTGCACTGAGTGTTATACAAGTTTGACATTGCTCAAATTTATATGTTCCTATCTTATAAATTCTTTGGATTGTGTTCGTATAGTCTCCGCTTTCTTGAATGCTAGGACGGTTGGCCATGATCAACCTCTCACATCCACCTTGCTCCAGTTGCCGCGCGCGATTGCTGAGCAAGGCCGGTAAATGATAGGTTGACATCGAGTTTAGGCAACGTCTGTGGATGAAAAAAACTAAGTTTAAGTCAGCGCCAATGCATACAGAGACGGGGTTAATCGGGTAGAATCATTGTCGCAAGCGGGGCAAGGAGAAGTCCTATTCAAGGCGTTATCGTTCCCTGCACCAACAGTCTCCTGAATGTCATGACACGCCATACTGTCTGAAGGCCAGGCGCTAAGGAAGCGCTGGCTGTGGCGCCGATCATTAACTCACTAATGCATGTCTAGAAGCGGGAGGGTCCTACGGCAAGCTCTGAACAGACCACGCGCTCTAGGGAGCATTGACAATGAAGATGGATTGGAAAAACCCCCAAGAACCAACAGTGAAGGGAAATAACAAATTTATGTTTTGTAAGTATAGAAAGTGCGCGCGGAAACCAAGGCGAAACGAGCCAACCATTGTAGCTCGCCTTTACCATCTGTTCCAGCAGGACCATGAATGTGCTACAAGTGCGTGTCAGCCTTTGGAGATGGTTGGGAGGTGAGCTCTTGACGCACATGTTTCAGTTGCTCAACAGATACAGCAGTAGTTGTCGCTTCCAGGAATTTGAAGGGCCATGACTCGACAGGCCATCGGTTCACGTCGTCGATCCCTCTCAACCCATCGTCTTTGTCGTAATTTTGCATCAGCTCCATGGCAATGGTCGCCAACGCATTCATCATTGGAGCTTGCGACTGTCCTGGGAGATGCTCAATGCAATGCTCCAAGCCCGCTGCCGGAATCTGTCAGCCCGAGATGCTTGATGTTTTGACACGCCTTACCGATCTTGAGGATGCCACTCCAGCTCAGGAGGATATTAGAGCAGATCAATGACTGATGTGCCAAACCACATTTGAGGAGGTGCGACAATCCTTGCAGGAGCTTCTCATGATTAGTAGCACGTCCTTAGTGGTCGATCCGACAAACGTTACCTGTGAAAGAATCAAGGCGAGCTGAGTCTCTGTCGGATAGGCATCACAGGCGACAAGATGTTCCAGCGTGACGGGAAAGTCATCAAATCGGAAATAGACCGTTTCTCCATCCTTATAGCATTCGATTGCAGAGAGTATGTTTTCATGCTGGATGTTTCGGAATATCTCCAGCATCTGGTCTGTTCGGTTCTGGGTGAAAGTCCTGATCGCCATGACACGTGATGGACGACTACGATAGACAACCATGGAGACGGGGCCTGCCAGATCGCAGCAAAAGACCTCTCGAAAGGTGTCGCATGGGGATTCATGCCTAGTAACCAGTGGCTGGGCAATGTCCGTTGACTCGAGTATCTGCGCAAGACCGAAATCTCTGGGCCCGCCTCTGACGACCTTCCTCGCAGGCTCCGGTGTGGGAGAAGCTTTTCTTTTGTCTCCAACTCTGGGGCCTAGGGAGTTCTTTGGCGAAGATGACATCGAATGCTTGACCGGCGCGGAGGACATGTTGGACAATCCGGTGGGAGATGAAATGATGTGCAGGTGAATGTAACAGGTAGAGAAAAGAAACCATAAGAACAGAATGCCGCGGAATAGGACAGTCGTATTTATAGAAATGACTGGAGAACATGTAAGCGGCCTGGCACCGCAACTGAGAGGGACGAATGCTTTTTGGGGCACCCTCGCTCCTGGCACCAAAGGAACAGGGCCTCCGGGACTGCTCAAGAAACTCGTTTCGAACATAAATATTCCTGACACCCATCTCCCTCAGCGAACAAATATGCACCTAGACCTGATTGTCACTTTCCATGACCACTTTCCATGTCCACACCAGCCATGGAACAATGCATGTTCACGGATGCAGAACTACGAGTGGCACAAGAGCGGCGGCTGAAACACCAAGGAACGGCGAAGATCAGCCTGGACCAGATTTCTCTGGCCCCGGAATATGATGAAAAGAACGTGAAGAGATTATACGAATTGTTCAGTCGGGATGATTGTGACCGGCTTAATATTCGAAACCATGTCACTGCCATCGTCTCCGAGCAGCATTTGCAGAGCGCCTGCCGTGCAGCGCAGACCAACTCCCATGAATTGATGACTAACCAGCCTGGCAGCTACCCCCACCTGCAGTTCGCAACGGGGCAGGTCCACTGCCTCCACGGCCAACACCGTCTCCGTGCGGGCCAGCAGTTCCTCCCGCCGAGCGATCAATGGTGGACGGTGGATCTTTATCTGGATGGTACAGTGTCTGCAGGTTCCCATTCTCCCGACAGTTTCTTACTTGTTCATCCTCTACAGATATCGGCTCCGAGCTGCGGACGGCGCTCGCGGACGAGTATTCTAATGAACGGCAGCCTAGCGATGGCGAAGTCTACCGGAAGATCCGTCAGTACCAATATGAGGGCTGTCCCCGGTTCGTGGACCGGTGGATGTCTCGGCTTAGCCCAAACAAGAGAAAGCGACTCAAACAACTCTCGTCCGATGGCAATAAATATATCCGTGCGGCTTTTGATGCGCTGCTGCCCATCCCCGGCCTCTGGGATGGGATGAGTATCGGCTCCCTGCACCGGCTGCTTGCCATGAACTGCGACGAGGTAGGAGCGACCTATTCATCCCATCATTCCCGTAACTAAATTCTCCAGGAAATCATCCACTATCTTACACACGTGAAGGACTTCTGGTCCTCTCTAGTGAACGGTGATCGCACGCAGATGATGAAGATTGACGGGCATACGGTGGAACAGCTTGAGCTCTTAGTCCCAGCAGCCGAATCTACAGCAATTAAGGGCATGATCCTTAGCGGCCAGGTTTTCGGTGCATTTCAGAAACCTCAACAGAAAGCCATCTGGAGGCGGTTACGAGGCCAGAACTGTCTGATCCCTTCACTCCACACCTTCTTCCGAGACCTTTGGTATCTGGAGGCGTGTGCCCACTGCGTGAAACGACTTGTTGTCGTCAACAAACATCAGCCCACGATCCGCCGCGCAATAAGGGATATTTTTCGACCTTCTAACCATGGCGATGGTGAATGCGTGATCCAAACGTCCGAAACCCAATTTGACCGCCGATCTGGAACGTTAGGCGAACGGGCCGACTTTGCATATCGGCAAGTCTGGTTGTACGCTATGCGTCATTACCCGCGAATGGCCAAGGAGTCGGAAAGCGGCGATCTTCTGGCAAAAGCGAGTTGCGAAAAGGCAGATGAAGAGGTCCTGTACCGGCTGGCCGCCCTTGCCCGGCGATTGGGGTATGATTCTCCCCGGATCGCGAAGCTTATGGAGCAATCTCCCGATCGCCAGATCGCCCGGGCGGCCTTATTGAAAGCACGGAAACCGGACCGATATCGATATCATAACGGTATGGTCGAGTCTCTGATTGATCGTATCGTGGGATGTTTTGCGGAGGCTGTTCCTATCGAGCCGTAAATCTCTCGCGAGCCAGTCCCCATACGGGCTGTTGAACGGCGTCATCGATGCGGACTCCCTCTCGCTCAGCCCCAGAAGCACGACTCCCGCTTTCTCTTCATGGACCAGATCCATGCGGGCCAGATGACGTCCAGCGGAGTTTCTACGCTGTTTGTACGGCAGCAAGTCTATTTCGCATTTTTTGGGAAGCCCTCGACCGCAGCACGGGCACCGAGCTCGATGTCTCCCGAGGAGTCCCCTTCGGGCTCGCTTCCATCTCCTCTGTTTGTCCCAGACCGTCACGGTTCCACTGATGAGCCGATGGGTGAACGTCCTGATCTGAATGCCCAGAGACAGGAGCAGCGCGAGCGGCAATCTCGGAAGGCGGCCCGTCAAGAACGACGCCGTCAGAAGCGAGAACGCAAAGAACGTCGGCGCCAAGAGCGTCAACGCCGACATCTAGAAAGACAACGCGAGGAAGAAAGATCACGGAGAGAAGTCGGGTCATCCGAGAACGCATATCCCGTGGCTGCCAGTTTACCTACGGGTGGTCTCTCCGACCATGAAACTCCAGGCCGTCCACTGCTGTCGATTGAAGATACTCCGACGCGACAAGATGAGCCGGAGAGGGAAGGTTCACGGGCTACCGATGTGACTCCAGGCGACGTGTTCATGTTAGCTGGAAACCCTCCGACGGCGCAAACGGGGTCAGTGCGGGAAGGCTCAGGACCACCTGATGCCGCGATAATAAGCCCAGATGAAACAGTATCGGACGAAGGAGTCCCTCAGCTCGAATCCCACCCACGGCAGCCTGAAGAAGGAAGGACGCCACCTACGACGACCACAGAACTGGCCCTTGTCCCGGTGGCACCGCAGCAACCAGAGGAACCAGCCGCTGATCCTATAGGAAGGGATAGGCTTCTGGGCGAGCGTCCGAGATTGCTCGCACCGGGAGAACGAGCCGCCAAGGCAGTCACGCAGATCGACTTTAATTCATTGCGGGCGGATCCTGGGATCAAACCGCTCGGCGGGTACGAAGGGCGTCCTGAGATGGCCACCACGGAAACAATGTCTGCAAGTCGCAGTGACTCGCCGAGGCCAGCGGATGTTCCTCGCACCAGCGCTATCCAGGCGGCCGCACTGGAGCAATTTCGGAGGGAGGTGGAAAACGATCCGGACCGTTTGTTTGATGACGATGCGATCTCACCTCAGGAACCGGAAGATCTCAACCCCGCCGGGACGCTGCTCGAGCGTCCAGTGGTCGGCGGCGGCGATGCAGGGCCGGAGCGGACGAATCCGCCAGAGGAAAGACCGCTCGATGCTGCCGGTCAATCATCGAAGAAGGCTTTCACACTTCGAGGAAAGAAACCCCTAGGAGCTAAAAAGCGGGCAAAGATGATCAACCCCCAGCGCAAGGCTAGGCGCAAGGCTGCCGTCTTTCCTGAACAGTCTGTCACCAACCCGAGACGGAGACCCCGTGTTGGAAAGGGCCCGCAACCAATCCAAGCCGTCCCCGATGATTCTTCGCTGCGCCGAGTGACGCAGACGGATTTCGGGTCTCTCCGGGCGGAGATGGCAGGCCGCGATGCGGTCACTGTGGAAAGTGAGCCTACCGCGATGCACGGGGCATTGGAAAAGATCGCTTCCGATGCGGGCCCCGATCTAGCGCCAAGCACGCGGGGCCCCGCGCGGACGGTCGACTCACGACGCCGACGCCGATCGAGAGCGGTAGGGATTGGAAATGCTCGGCGGATCGCAAGACGCTCGCAACGGCTGGCGGAAGCACGGCGGGTGATGGACCCAGTCCGATCTCCAGAGGCCGGCGTGGAGCTCGGAACTTCACATTCTCCCCCGATGCTCGTCACACCAGATTCCCGTCCCAACCCGCAACCCGTCTCGACCGTGTTCAAGGCTCATATCGGCGGTGAATGGAGAGTATTCGACCAAGTGGCAGTGGATCGGTCCGACCCATTCCACGTGGAGCGTATCGCGAAACGGTACGTGCGCGACAATGGTGCGAAATTCTATGATCGAAATCTGAAACCCATCACGCCGGCGCGGTGCTTTCAGGCGGCGACGGAAGACGAAACCAATACGCTGTTTATGACTCTTGGCCGCGACCTGGTGATCACTCAAGAGATGGTTGCTTCTGCGTCCAAGTCGCGATATCGGACCGGGACGAAGCGACCGAACGACGATGATGGTGATGATAACGTGTGAGCTGGTCTTCAGCCATCCCCGGACAGCAGCAGCAGGCTTGGAGTCCAACGGGGTTCGGTGGCTGCGACGGTCGCCAGTCGGTAGTCTGGGAATCCCATGGGTCCTAGGGCCACGGTTCATGGACTCAGCGGACCTCAGGGCCGCGTCCTCCCGCACAGAGCACCCAGGCTCCGTGCTGACTGCCCAGGTCTTTCAGCATACGGCATAGGGGCCCCAGCACAGGATCTCCGCAGCCCGGAGACCTCGACCTAGTGGTCCAATCGGACCTCGGTCTATCTTCTACGGACCCTCCCGGACATCAGGTCGATGCAGCCATCAGTCGAAGCCTTCCCCTTCGGGAGACAGAATGTATATTTGCGCCTTTAGAAGCGGAACCTGCCTTGTGGGTCTCTTGCTACAGAGCAACACCTCGCCCTGCAGCATGTCAGCCGCAAGGAGCCCCTACCATAAAGCGCTCTGCGCGCCATTTTGCGCTTTGTTTCAGAGCTCATATTCTTTGTGGCAGAAGGTACCATGAAGCATGTATGCCCTGTGGCAGCTTCGCGCCGCGGTCAATCCTGCGACAATGCAACCTCGCCGGAGGACATGTTCATTCTGCGGCCTTCTGCCCTGTGGCGAACATGCGCTCTAGCACTAGCTGCTTCGTTACTCGCTAGCCAACTATTGCTGGCCATTTCCCTCGATCAATGAAATCTTTGATGTCTTTATAGCATCCGTGCGCTAGAGAATATTATTAGAACATTCGAAGTTACATCCCAAGATCTATACCCTCTAGAGAAGACTGAGACAAGAGTGTAATGTGATGGATTCAGGATCGATATCCCTCCTATCCATGGTGCTCAAAAATGCTTCAGTAACCCTCCTGTTAGGGTGCGCATCTGACGGCCAAAAAAAGCTGCAGATACCATATTTTTAGTCTCTGCCAGGGAGTTGACTAAGCAGCGATAACTGACTAACTACCAGTTTTATTGGCTCAAATTCTCCAAGCTACCTTTCGCGAGAACTGCGGGCCCTGTCTTACGTCTCAAATTTAAAAAAGCAACTAGCTTTTCGGAACAGCGCCTGCTACCAGTAGGCTTGGTCAGCATCCTGTAACCAAAGAAGGTCTAATGTTATGGCTATCTCAGGGCCAAGTCTCTCAGTCATGTGATATCACCTCTAGCGCTCTTCTCGACAGGTTGGACATTAGCGGTTTGGTCATTCAAAATACAAGACTTTCCTTCCCGGCGAACTGCCATTTTGGAGACTAGCAATACATTTCCTCCTCATTTGCCAGAATGTGTTAATGACGAGTTTTGGATTACGGATAGTCTCGATCGCTTTTTCCTATATGTAAACAAACCAGAAATCATTGCCATTGAGATTTCGAAAGGCATACCGCTGGCTTCGGTGAAGCGCATGAAGGTCGATGCCCAGCAGACTGGCGACAATAAGCTCTAGAGAATGTCCCATAGAAACTGAGGCAACCTCAAACTCTGTCTTTATTGACGGGCCCGAGCTCTCTTTCATCTATGAGATGGCACCCAAGTCTTTGACGCTACCATCCTGTAAGGGTCACAGCACTCCTTGTGATGTTCCAGCATTATGCGTATGCACTTAATACTGCAGGGAGCCGACGTTCCCTGGAACTCTTACGCTGACTCTATTCACTACCTCCCAAGGTTGATTCGATGTTCACACTTCGGATCACGATAGGAAGCTGCGGATCGATGTAATCCCGACTAAAGAAACGTCATTCTAACAAGGAGAGGGCTTCCCATATCAAGTGACAATAAACATTTTTTTCGCTACTAAAAGAGTGTATATAAGGAAAATACAACATGACATCTGGTAATCGAAGAATTCAAAGCTGCGGAATGGATTTCAATATGCTGAGGTCACGTACAATACCGGAACAAAACATGGAAACCCAAAACACTAATCTGAAGCCTCAGAGCCCTGGTCTGATGAAGCGCGGAGTATACTTGGGACCCAATCACTGTAAGCTCCACCACTGGTCGTCGGAAGCAAGCATTCCTAAGTACCACAACGCAAGCAAAACCGTCAACTGCGGTTGGGATACGGTACCACGCGCAATCCAAGGTATGGAATCTGAAAGTTCCAGATTACCGTGATTGTCAAGCCTGCGAATAGCAACGAGTTCACGATCGGTGAGAACAAAACCGTAGCGAGCGTGATGCTGCCTCATGTACCAGTTGACCTGGGCCAAAGCCTGTTTGAACTCTTTCCTATCTCTCTGAGTCGGCCCATTTCGCAAATCCAAAGACCACTTGTATGATGGCTTGAGGTCTCCTGGGGCACGATTGGGCCTCGTAGATTCTGGAAGACTCGTTGCGAAATACGCAGTGTCGGGTATGAAATTCTCCACGGTTCGGGCGAGATTCCCCTCGCCAAATGATATAACAGTCCGATTGCCAAGACTATTCTGTATACCAAGATGTTGGAAGCCCACACGAAGCCCGCGTCGAACCCTGGAGTCCAAATACAATATGAATCGTTGTCGAAAACTTGTCTCTGAGGTGATCGGCTGAGGGGGAGATGTCGGCATGGGCTCACGTTGTATCATGGATCCAGTCAGGAGAGGTCCGTACTGGTTCATGATATTCCCCAGATTGAAGGCGTTCCAGTGACCCACATTATTGATATCAATAGCGGCATAGTTCCCGTTTGTTGTATTATCTCGCGACTGTCCTTGATTGCTTATTGGCAGTCGTGGCGGCCCAACTTGCAGATATTCCATTAGAGTAACGTTGCTTGCCATGGTGGTAGTTTGTATGGGAAGTATTCTGTCAGGTTTATGAGTAACGAAAGCACTTTGTTCAGTAATGAAAGTTGTGAGTTTAGAGAATTCGGAGAACAAACCCACAGGGCCATAATTATCTACTTTTTATATTGATATTTCGTGCTGATTCTCATCTTGGTCCACCTCATATCTACATACACTCAGGCGCTTCGCAAAACATTAGGCGCTAAGAGCAGTTTGAAAGAAGACTCGATACCAATACATAACGCCACTTGTCAGGAAGTGAGACAAGCCAAGAAAAAAACTTTGCGTTTGTACTTCTAGGGAGGACCAAATCCCCAAGGTCATAGGATGTGCTGTTCTAGAGAGCGCTAACTTGGATCTCCTGAAGATACAAAGCGGAATGTGACAGAAGACCGATTGGTTCGCAGCTACTTAAAACATGTCATCTAGTGATGTGGCTGGGTGATAGAAGATGGATCGGGTTAGGGACATACCCGCCGAAGAGGGTCTGTGCGTGGTTGATGTTCTCCTTACATAAGGCTGTGCCATTGCACTAGTGGCAGTATCCGACCGAGAGCACTGCAGTGATTTTTCTTAGACAGCTAGCCATGGAACTGACAATTGGCGATATTACTTTCATCCAGGTCCTCAAAGAATCCGACTCCTCTACTATTTTTCAAGTGACCGTTCAAGGGAAACTATGTGTTCTTAAGGTGGTATGTTGTTTATAATGAACCCAATTTCCTGAGCATTTCCTTAAGATAACTCCAGTACCACAGCGCAAAGAGATCTTACGCCGACCCTCCTAACCGTGAAATCGATCCCTTCATCTGTGAGAGTACTGCGTATCATCGTCTAAAAGAGTATGGATTATGTCGACAAGGAGTGGTACCAGACTTCTACGGTGTGATAAAAGGGATCAATCCAATATCGTGCCAACCCTTTTTGAAGCGGTTTTTGAAGGACGAGCTCTTCCCCAATGCCATCCTTATTGAATATATTCCGGACTTGCATGAAATAGATCTTTCAACATTTTCAGACTACCGCATAGCCACACTTCGTACAATTCTGGAGAGCATCCATGGAGTGGGAATCTATCACGGCGACCCCTACCCTCGAAATATGATGGTCCAGAAATACACAAAAAGGGTTCTCTGGATCGATTTTGATCATGCACAGACATTCTCAGAACATAAATGGAACTCTCAGTGGATAGAGGATGAAAAAGAAATGGTTAATGAGTTTTTTGACGCCCTAGTAAGTACTCCTCGATTGCTTTTCTGATCCAACTGACCTCTGCCTAGACAGAAGATTATAATGATGGCAAGATATCGCGCACCTGGCCTTATTACTACACATATTTATGAACTCGCTTCAAATTATAGAGTGGCTACAAAATGAGTTCTCTATGAGTGGAAATTGCATCTCAGTGACTGTATGGAGAAGCAGAAATGACGATGGTCTTGGAGATTGGTCTAGTAGTTATTATATTTCCTGTGGTGACTTTTGGCCGTTAGGGTCGTTTATGACTTCTATATACCCGACCTCGCAGCGATCATATCCAACTCTTCTCCGGCAGACTTCATATTGCAGGGCAGTTTTTCCGCCCTTCGTATACTCGGACTAGAGGAAGCCCAACTCATTCGATAAACGGTTATCATAGCCTTTTTCAGAGCAGCATCGCCCTCATAATCAGAGCCCAATATTCACTCACAACGGTTGCTATCGCTTGCTGTACTTTTCGAGTAGTATAGAAGATTGTCACGAGTGTATCTTATAGGAAATGCTGTGCCCAGACGGAACGTACTAGCATACTTGATGACTGCCGTTCAATCTAGTTTCTCAAAATAGAGGACTAGACCTGCCAGAGAATTTTCTGCTCGGGAAGTTGCAATTTCCTTTTCCAGTGGACAAAATTCAACTACCTGGTAAGCCTTGTGAGGCTGATACATCGTAGAATGCTCCCTGTATTGTTTGAACGTTGATCCGGGAAAATATCTTATGGGTTCAAAGGGTTAGTCATTATACTGAGGATAGATGAACTCTATGGTGAGGTATCTAAACGATCTAAATAACCTCCTCGTCCTTTCCTTGTTATCGTGCAGTTGGATGCTTTTGTGGAGTGGGCATGGAGGCAATACTAGAAGCCTTACTCAGCATTCTGGAAACGAGCCCAGAACGGTTTTTAGCAGGTAATCGACACCCTATGGGTATTTTTCAAATGTAGTAATACACCGGTGTGATTTCCAGTTTCTTTCCAGCCGGCTCCTTAGGCTGTTTCCTAGGCGTACAAGTTTGGTGTCAGTACAAAGCCCGTCCGGCCCGAATCATCTGACCGACGTGATTAACTGTTGGATCACGTGGGATTCTGCCGCATAGGTCCGCCCTCGCTGACCCTTTTCACCACGTAGGCCTATCTAGCTAGTAACCAACCAACAATACACTTCCATTAGGTTATGAGCCCGTTTCTTGCTCGGAAATATGAGCTATTTTAGGCCCGTATAAGTGGTCAATTTAAGCCCTCTGATTGGCTGAACCAAAATTCCATACCCCAGATTCCAAAAATTCCAGGATCCCAGATACGGTCCGAACCTGAGCATGTCAGGAGAACCTACTACGCCTCCCGCTACTGCTATACGACGATCACGTCGCCGAAATCTCCAAAACAGGTCCTCGAATATAGACGAGACCTCCTCATCAGTTGTCTCTGAAGAGATAGAGACCCCAACGCCTTCCGGAGCCAATCTGAGCTCTACCAATACCGCCAACATGGCTTCCACAAACGAACTTACCCCTGATCTTGCTGATATGATGCGACAAATGCTTGCTCGCCAGAATCAGATGGAACAAGATATGCGAGACCGTGAAGCTAGAATGGAGCTAAAACTGGCATCTATCATCCAGTCTAATACTCCACAAGCTTCCTTGCCTTCAAATACAACCCAAGATACTACACCAATGGATATCCAACCGCCTCTGCGTGATGCCTCAGACACAAATATCAGCAATGCTATTGCCCTTGTCCAAGCCGATGTCGATACGCTACTGCCTGACCGATGCCGTGTCATCTTGACACTGGATAATTACGATGCATGGAGCTCTGCCATACAAAAAGAAGCTGGTATTCTCAATGCTATTACAACTCTTCACCAGGACTCTCCTCCTGCTGGATCATCTCCACTTGATGCTGCAGTTTGGCACAGAAAAGCCATTGTCATGAGAGCCCGTATGCTCAATGCCATGACAACCCCTGCTTCTGATAAACTAGGCACCGTATATGACCTCTCTGCCCATGGTCTTTGGGACCGAGCTGCCACACTTTTGGCAAATCCACCGGTGAAGAGCGAATGGCTCTTACCATGGAGCTCAAAGAGCTCTATATAAAGGATAACGATTATCTCACCTACCAGTCATCCTTCAATCGAATCTTTGACCGCCTACACGCTATTGGAGAAGAATCTTTTGAAAATCTCAAACATGACCTCTTCTTTATAGGTCTCCGGGACTGGAACCGCGCCTTTATCAAGAGTAAGCTAGATGATGTCTACTCTACTGGCCGTGCTCCGGTTACCAACCTGGATCTTAATGTTATCCAGACCCAATTATCTACTCGAACCGGCACTAAATTCCGTGATACTCATTCTCAAGACCGGTCAAACCAACAGAAAGAGAACTCCCAGAACCGCAGTTATTCAAAACAAGCATCTGGAACCAAATACACAATTCCTCAACGTTCCAACAACCAAGATAGATCTCGTCATACACTTATAGACTGTGATCACTGTGGAAATCGCCATGGACTTATATGCTATTTTAAACATCCTGAGAAAGCACCAGAGTATAGACGCAAGTTCTATACTACTATGGCTAATGCTCTCCGTGTTCAGCAACAATCTGAAGCAAACCCACAATCAAACCAGGATCACCCTGCTTCACAGGAACTTGTCTTGCATAAGAAACTCTCCAATGCCAAATCTGCTATTGTGAAGTCTGCAAAGACTCTCTCATTTTCCAATCAATGGTTTGTTGACAGCTGTGCCTCTTTCCATTCTACACCTGACCGTTCGCTTTTTGCAACCTACAAGGCCTTGCAGAAGCACGATCTGGTGGAGACAGATTATATGGAAGGTGCTCAAGGCCATATCTCTATGCCTCAAGGCATTGGCACCGTGATTATAGATATTGGTCACGGATCTCTGATCCTAAGAGACGTCCGCCATGTTCCTTCCTTTACTTCCAACCTCATTTCAGAAGGCATGCTTGTACGACAAGGCTTTAGGCTTCAATATACACTAGATTGTGAAGTCAAGCTGATTACCACACCATCTGGAGCTGAATTCCAAGCCCGATTGTTCAAAAACAATGTTTACCTCCTTGAAGACTGCCTATCTCCTGGAGAAGAAGAAAATTCTTATGCCTTTGTCACCACCCGGTCTGGCAAAGAAGTTAACCGCCCAGAAGAGCCACCTGCAAAGGCTCCCACAATTAAGACACCAGCTGAAGCTCCTACTCCAAAAGAGACCCCGGTTCTAGGGAAGCCGCGAACTACTAAGATATCCCTACCTATCATGGCCTGGCACCGACGCCTATGCCATCTCAATCAAGCCGATCTCCTCCGCCTCGCCCGAGATCCTGAGTCTTGCATCGAAATCAAAGGCTCTAAAGAACTCCCATTTTGTGAAGTCTGTATACAGGCTAGACAGACACGCTATTATAGCAAGGTCCCTAGGTCCAGAGTTACCAAACCCCTTGCCCGAGTCCATCTAGATATCGCCGGCGGTGGACAAACTCTTGATTTTGACAACCCTAACGATGTTGTCCCTGGCCGAATTGGGGCAAAATATGTCTTACTTATTACCGACGATGCCACACATTATCGATGGATCCTCTTCCTTGAGACAAAAAGTGCAGCCATTACCGCCTTCAAGAACTGGCTTCAAAATATGAAGAACCATGGCTTCACTGCCCCTGCCTACCTAGTCTCTGATAATGAATTCCGCTCCACTGAATGGATGGAAACCTACCGTCAGGAAGGCATAGAATGGCAACCAAGCTCACCATATTCACCATGGCAAAATGCTGTTAGTGAACGTGGCATCCGGATCCTTTTTGAACGGGCCCGAGCTATGATGCTTGATGCCCCATATATACCAGAACGCTTTTGGGTAGATGCTCTCCAATATGCCACAGATCTTACAAATCGGCTCCCTACATCTACCATCCTATACAATTCCCAAATTCCTGGGGGGGTGAATATCAACAAGGACATACACCCCAGCCCTTATCGCGCTCCGTTGGCAGCGTGGACTAATTCATCCGTTTCTTCACTCCCTGGATATCGCCGTTGGGGGTGTCCAGCCTGGGTCCATCGGCATGGACCAGATAAACCTGGAAATAAGCTTGATTCGCGTTCTCACTGCTGTTTCCTCATTGGCCAAATTAGTAGCCATCAATATCGTGTTTGGGACCCTAAAACTGACACCGTATTTGTCACCAATGATGTTATATTTGATGAGGATTACAAAGATCCTACAACTACCACTCCCAAAGGTCCCAGCACCCCTACCGAAGAAAATCCAACTCAATTAGTTGAAGATGAACCTCTCAATGACCAAGATATATGGCTCCGACCTGCCAAAGGCATGTCCCTAGCTTACTTTGCCACTTCAACCATTCCTTCATCAGAAGACAACACGCCTACTTCTTATAAGCAGGCCATATCCCATCCTGATGCTGCTAAATGGCAAGCTGCCATGCAAAAGGAAGTCAACCAACTTAAAGAGAAAGGCTGCTGGCAACTCATTCGCCGTTCTGACCTACCACCAGGGACCAAAGTCATCCCTGGCCGGTGGGTATACAAAAAGAAAGAAATCCCCGGCATACCTATTTCAGAGGATTATCAGGCTAAAGCCCGCTGGGTCATTCGTGGCAATCTACTTGATAAGGACTTCATGGAATCCTACGCACCAGTGGTAAATGAAAATACTACCAGAACCCTCACGGCACTGGCCACCCTGCTTGGCTGGCATACCCGAAAAGCTGATGCCACCCTTGCTTTCCTAAATGGGAAAATGCCCACGGACAAACGTGTCTTTATGACCCAAGTTCAGGGATTCAAAGAAGGTTCTGGAGATCTTGTCTGTGAACTCCTTCAATCCCTCTATGGATTGGTCCCATCTGCCCGCATCTGGTATGATACTCTGGGTGCTTTTCTACGCCAAATCAGCTTCAAATGCTCTGAATATGACTCTGGTCTATGGATCCACACTACCCGGACCCAACTCTATGTGACCACCCATGTGGATGACTTCAAAGTCTATGCTAAACATGAAAATGATGCCATCTGGTTTATGGAGACTCTCTCCGCCAAATTTGACATAAAAGAAGTTGGAAACTCTACCAAATACCTTGGCATGACCATCTCCCAGTCTGAGACTTCATCTTCTTTATCTCAAGCCGACTACACTGAAGATGTTGTTGCCTCTTTTGGTCAAGCCCAAGCACATCCTGTTAGGATTCCAATGGATCCTAGCCTAATAATTGATGATGAACCAGACCCTACAGTCAACACCAAAGAATATCAACGTGGTGTAGGCTGCCTTACCTGGCTAGCCACCAAAACCCGGCCAGATCTTAGCCAGACGGTTGGCATACTATCCCAATATAACGCCAAACCCACCCAAAAAGCATGGCGTGCCCTTATACACGCCATACGCTATCTTAAAGGCTCCATCAATCGGCAAATTACCTATCATAAACCCACGGAGTCCATTACATCTGACCTCCTCATGCCAAAATGTTATACCGACTCTGATTGGGGTGGTCAACTGACAGGCAACCGCCGGTCAGTCTCTGGATACATCTTTCTGCTTGCCGGAGCCCCAATTGCCTGGAAAAGCCGCACGCAAACATCCGTTGCCCTTAGCTCCAACGAAGCTGAGTATATGGCTCTAAGCGAAGCCAGCCGTGATGCCCTCTGGCTCCGGAATCTCATCAACGAGCTTAATGTGCTCCCAACTGAATGCCCACCAATATCTCTTCATATCGATAATCAAGGCGCTCACGCCATGGCTGAAGCCGAGCTCACCACCAAGAGATCCAAACACATTGACATACGTTACCATTACGTTCGGGAGAAGGTCCAAGACGGCATTGTCAAACTTCAGACCTGCCCTACCAAAGAACAGGCAGCAGATGGCCTGACAAAACCTCTCCAAACTGAACGATTCAATCATTTCCTGGAACTCACCGGCATACATTAAGCGGCGCTTGTTCCCCCATTTTGGTTATACTTTCTATTCTGATTTACGGCTTCTGATTGGCCAAAGCGGAACCTCTCACTTCTCTGCTTAATTTTGCTTTTACTCTCTCATTTGGAGGCCTGAATAGAGGCCGATTTTTGTATTTAAATTCTTTAGATTAGTCTTTAGGCCAGCTCGTGCGTGGGGGGGTGTTGGATCACGTGGGATTCTGCCGCATAGGTCCGCCCTCGCTGACCCTTTTCACCACGTAGGCCTATCTAGCTAGTAACCAACCAACAATACACTTCCATTATTAACAGGGAAGGCTTCAAGGTAAACCAGTTTCAGGAACAGACGAAAAAAGATCTCTCTCACGCTATATACAAGCACCAGCGACAGCCGCCCATCTCACGATGTACGGAATTATGACAGGATCAATACGATGGATAAGAGGAAATTCGCCGCTACCGCTAGTTTCCGTCACCGGCTCCAGGCTGTAGCATCGGCTATCCAGAGATATAAGTGATAGAATCAGATGACAACGAAAAGACCGGCGTCATGCGTAATCCCAGCTAAGTGGTAAGCCGGTGAACTGCTGCAGCGTGACGCCGAAGATGCATCTCATGTAGCAACTGTTCCTCGCAGTAATTACACCGGCGATCGTTCAGGTGCCTCGTCCGGAAATGTCGCACCACGGATTTATACTCCGACCATGTTTGCATCCGACGATGGTCCGGTAACTGACGGTTGCCGAAACACTGGAAGCACCTTCGGGGCTTGCCCTCCTCTTGGATCTGTTTATCAGCTGCCTGAAGCGCGATGTCGCGTTCACTTGGAAATGCGTGAGGCTTGTTGTCTCCACGGGCCACACGTTTGCAGGTGACATTCCGATCATCATCGGACTCGTCACTCGAGGCCGCTCGTTTAGGCCGTCCAGGCAACGGACCCCCTTCCCACACGGAACAATACTGAGTGACTGCCTCCGTAGCGACGTTGCGACGTTGCCATTCATCTTCCAGAGAATTCGATGTCGGCCATGTGAAGAGCTTCTCGATAAGATGAATCTGCGCTGCCGGCATCTGGTCTTGGGTCCGAAGCACCTCCGTGGCTTCCTGATCGTTAATTGCAGCCCCAGAAAGCTGCCGCTCGATATCAAGCACCGCTTGTTTCCGATCGAATTCGCTTCGCACTTGTTTCCGAAGCGCCCTCCCAAGTCGGTGGAATGTGCTGTTGACCTCGCGCTCCCGTCGTTGCTGGCGCGCCCACTCCTCCGACGTGGGATCACATCGATAAGCCTCCACTGCATCGTCCCGTCGTTGGACGGCAGCCAGGTACTCGGGATGCTGGCGAAGAGAAGCTCGCTGCTGCGCGCTCAGACGGCGAGGCCGCCTCTTGTCAATCCATCGACTCATCCGGGTGATGGCACGCATCAAACCCGTATTCGACTCCCGACCGTTCATGATATTTTGCATGTCCGTGTCGATATGGCGGGGAAGGTAATGGTCCAGGAACGTGCGAATGTTCGAGTGTTTCATGATCAGATTCTGTTGGGCTTCGCTCACCACCCCTGTGACAGATCGAGCGTCAGAACAAGGACTCTGCGTCAAAGTAAACACCTGCGTACACGTCGAGAAGGGACTGACCGCTCGCATTGAGCACCTTTCCTCCGCCGTACCGCATCCGATGCGCGAACATCGAGTGAAGCCATCCGTGAATCTCGCCAAGCGTCCTCAATCGCCCCGACATGGTGCTGGCATTGATCGGCTCGTTCCATACAAGAGTCGGTTTCCCATCGACCACCTTCGTCTTACAGAAGAGGAAGTACTCCTCGACCTCCGGTTTTAAGGGGAGCTGCATCTCCTGCCGGCCATCTTCCGTCAGCAGTTCGCGAAGGCGTCCCATCGAGGTCAGCCTCGGTGCCTCAAAGGCGTCCAAAAAAAACAGGATACCGAAGACGAAGACATGAGGGCTGAAGATCAACGAGGGATCATCGATGATCTCGGGAAGGGGAAAATTATTACTGGAGAACGCGGTTCAGGTCAGTAACTAGGTCGATGAGCATGGCCGGGCATGTGGGAGATGCTAGGGATGATACGCACGTTTGTGTCAATCCTAGGAATTGCTTCACGTGCTCGGACCGGATTTCGATCAGAGGAATCGGAGGCCCTCCCAGAGGATCTCTCTGGATGGAAAAACGGAGGTGTTTGAACTGCAGGAACAAGAGCGCATCTAATCGATTCACCGTATAGATTCCCAGCATCGTAAAGACGCAGAGCTGGATCCGCTCATAGCCCAGATAGAATCGTCTTTCCTGGGTCCGCAGAATGGTCTCGTTAAATTCCGTCAAGTCCTGTACATAGACAGGAGTCTTGTCCCGTTCCTTCTGATCCAACTCCCATTTATCGATAAGCTTGCGGATGCCCTTGCGCTTGTCAGTAGAAGATTTCTCTCCAGAAGAATCAAAAGTCTTACGGCGTTGATCTCCTCGCTATCCTCCTGGCTGATTTGCTTTCGAGTGATGTTGCGGTAGTAACCTCGAAACGTCTTCCAATCGGCGCGTAAAGAGCTGGCTTTCTTGATTCCCTTGAGGAGTCGACCTTCCGGCCACGCTTCAGCTTCAGACAGTAGTTCAAGAACCGGTAAATATCGTCAGGTGTCGCCTGATGGAGGGCAATTTCTGCATTCTTCCATTTGGGAAGAGCACCAGGCTCAGCGGTCTTTGTGCGACAATACCTCAAGAGAAGTCAGCATGGAGCGTGTTTTGATATTCTGAGTCTGAAGTTTCTCACTTGTGCCAACGCTGCTCAATCCGAACCCTTCGGGTTTTTGTTTTCTTCGACCGTCCGTGTTATCGTCCGGGTCATCACTAAAATCCGGTAGAAGGTCGCTGTTGAATGATTCCTGTACAGAACCTCGAGGGTGAGAGGTCCGCTGGCCATGAGGGAGCGAATGTCGAAGTTCCGGCTCGGTCAGTTCTGTCGTTAAACTTCCATCCGACGCATCTTCCGAGTCCAGCTGGAAGGATACGTCCGAGGCGGTGGCTTCCACATCGGAGTCATCTCCCGCATAGAAAACGTCTCGTTTGTTTCGACTCATTTCATGTGGCGTGTTCCGAGAGCCAGCAGTAGAGACACCGTGTCGACACTGAGATCTGATGAGAAGGACGCTGTCAGGGCTTGAGACGCCGTAGAAAGATGCTAGAGAAAGAAGACTGTACTGTACTGCTCTCGTAGACTCGCGGGATTAGAGACTTCCAAAGGCAAGAAATGGACACGCTTTTATACTCGAGGCCACCATGATCCATCATGGGGACGAAGTGGCCCCTGGTGCCAGTTGCGGCACCAGCGCCAGCAGCAGCTGGGGCAGCAGGCTCATTTGGGCGCCCTCAAGAGATCGAGGGAGGGGTGGCCAAGTCGAAAAGCGACAACTTGAAGCAGCTCCGGGGTGAGACGCAGTCGGCGCGACTACAGTGACTGGAAGGAGGCACGTGCCAGGAACGCAGGAGTGGCTCTACGGAGCAAGGTGCGTGGCTGTAGGAACTGTGTGTCACGGAACTCAACTAGACGATGAATAGGATGCTATTCAGCTATCTAGGCAGCTATCGACGAGAACTTCAAGCATGAAGAGGAAGGAAAAAAGGAAGAGATCTACGTGAAGCTGGACGACGTACTCCTATCCACGCGCCACGCTAATCCAAGTAAGGAAGCTCACGTGCTCGTCCTGGTCTACATGGCAAGGGCCCTGACACTGTGCCCGCGACGCCGAAATGGGCGTCGAGTGCTGCCGTTTCTGGGCGCGTTTTCACAAATCGGAATTGTTATAGCGGAAAATAAATTATAAAAAAGATAATTATTATATTAAAAAAGAGAGTGGTTAGGCAGACCAGGCTTGTGACCATGAATGAGGACAACAAGACATTGCGATGATCCTAGAGGCAAAAACGTTAGTAAAGCATCATGTTGTTGGACTATTTGAAACGTACTGGTAAGTATATTGACAGCGACAGCATTAACACTGTGCCCACGACGAAAGCACCCGCAACCATATGAGTTATTTCGGACTGCAGAGTAGAAACGCTTAGATACTACTGAAGGTTAGCATCGTCCTTGGCTGAACACCTGGTCTTACCTCATTTAAAACGAGCAAAAGCAAGAGACAGCCGCTCCCAGTTTCTTGGATTGACGAGAATGTGTCTCCTACAGTGATGGTTAGGAATACATGGATTATTCTCCGCCGCCGGCAACTTACCGCTGTTTGAACTTGCTAGTCGAATTGCGAGTACAATAGAGACGATTGACCCGATGATGATAACTCCGCCTATAACAGCCTGACTGAGAAGAACTGGTTTCTTGTGGAACGCTGGCTGCTTCCGTGCTTCAACTGACAGTAGCCAGAAAGCAAGGCTCGCTCCCGAGCAAGCAGAAGCTGCAGTTGATGCAGTAAGTTGAAATGTAGTTTGAGCATCCATGTTAGATATCTGGTTCGAAGGAAATAAGGCTTCGATCTTGACCATCTATAAGTACCACGAATGATTGTCAGTTTCACCACTCTTTCCAACACTCTTTCCAACAATCTTTCCACCACTTTTTCCACCTTTGATCTCAACCATGGAACCGGGAAAGATACAAACTCCAGGGCTTTCCTTTCGAAGCTACCATGACCCTTGCATTCAGGTTCAAGTTCGTTCAGATCTGTCATCCCATTCGGACAAATATTGCTCCATCGCCGATGCCCTACGGGGATTTCAGTTGTGAGTCCCCAGTGACACCCTGTGTATACAACTTGCGGAATTATACCGTATTGAGCTTTACTGCACCCCATAATTTGAGGGCTGTTGCGCTCCAAACAAGGTTGGTGTTCGGATCTGCTCAGAGACAGTCGAATGAGGGATTCTCTTCTCAGGGTGTTTTTTCTTTCCGTGAGCTAAAGGAGAAAGTAGGTGGGTGATGGTTTTAACCCTAACAGATGCCGCACTCAAGTAGTTGAGTGGGTGTCCGTACAGTACTTAAGACTTGTCAGCCGAATGTCGATCTAGGGGAGGATCTGAAGAAATCAAGAGGTCTCTGCATTCTGAGTAGCTGCGAACAATGGAGAAATAAATACACAGTGGTCAAATGATCGAAATCAAAACTCCACCATCCAAAGCCAATTTTCAAACTTAGCCTTATCCAGCCCCTCTGGCGGTTGCGCGGAAAGCTGGTCGGCGGCGCGCTTCATCTTTATTGTTGTAATGCTGTCCTCCCCCTCAATCAAACACCACGCCTCGTACGCCCTTGTCGCAAAGATCCGCGCTCTAGGCGCATCATCATTTTCCATAGCAATATCGAATGCGTCCTTGTAAGCTCGAGCAACTCTGCCATCCCAAATATCTTCCTCCTCAAAAAGATCAAACATCATGCGTAAGATATTCAGCGCCGCCACTGGGTCCACGCCATCTAAAAGGGCTGCCCCAATGAACCTGTCAATGCCCTGAATGTTCGTGAGCCGCTTGTCGCTCAGTTCACGCTTAACAACCGGCAGCGAGCAGAGCTCGCATTTGCATTTGAACTTGAACTTTTCTTTCAGGTGGCGTTGCCGCTCTGCAAACTCGGATGTACTAGGGAGGTATGAAATGGTTATTCCTTGTCCTGGATCAATATCTCGAAGGGCGTGGACAGTAAGCTCGCCGATATTCTCATTCCAGGTATTATGGGCATTGTGTCTGCAGGAATGGTTGATTCGGGATGCATCCAGGAATAAGCCACCAGATGCATCATCAGAGCCTACCAGAGGAAGAACATTGGTTCGAGCAATGCCAAGGGACTCGCTATGATCATCGCCATAAATATTAGTGAGGTCGAAGAATGCAGCTTTTTGACCAGTAGTGAGGCGCTGCACTTCATTTTCAACGACACCTTCTAGTGTTTTTATGTTGGAAATGCCTCGAGGTACCCTGAAGATTGGAGCTTCCGATAATAGACGCGTCCCTTTAACTATCCTCTCTGCCGCAACTAGGCCCTTTCCTTTTCCTGCTATTGACCTGACAGTGTATAGGCTTTTAGCCGGTTGAATGAGATCATTGCTGACATTCGTAGCCTCTTCTGCGTTTTTAGTGATTGTTGCTGAACCGCCAGCATTTATAGAGAGAGGAAAGCTAATACGGTTGTCAACCTTGGCCCAATCCAGGAGAAATATGCCTCTCAAATCATTGTCTTGGAGAAGTTTGGAAGTGATCCTGTGGCATTTCTCGTCCTAGCCACAAGCCTGACAAGTCTAATTCAATTAGCACTGTAGTAGGTAGTGCGCCAGTAAGATGGTAGCTTAATCGTACCTTATTGCAATACCAGAAAAAAGAGCACTTTGAGCACTTCTTCATAGGAGCTGAACGCTTCCCGCACCCGTGACAGTTGCTACGACCGTCAGATTCTGCTGAGATATGCTGGATTTGATTGCTTAACCCAAGTAAGTCTTGCAAGGAAGTCCAACATATTGCTCCATGGGGTTCTTGTAGGGGTAGATGTTGTGCAAAGAAAGGAGAGCCTGTCGCTGCTGTTCAGTGAGTGCATTGACTTGCTTGCGGACGTAGCTTTGTAGCTTCTTACTGCCCCATTGGTTGTGGCTATGAGGGATATGGATGATAGCTTCTTTGCAGAGAATTCACGTACCCTGCGGAATGCTTCTGGTTGCAACAAGGCCTTTCCCTTTCCTGGGAACATCTTTCAAGTCGTACATGCTATCAGTTGTGTCGGAAGTAGTTCTGTTCATAGTTAGGCTTGATGTTAGATGCAACATGGTATAGTAAGAAAAATGCTGTGATCATTCACATAAAATTCACAGAGCGCTAGTGTAAAGGTGGGGTTAGGTGGGGTTGGGCACCCTTGCACATCCACATTCTGTTACTCACCTTACTGGTATGAAAAGGTCACTGGAAACCAGGAGGGGCCATATACAATGATCTCATAGGCAGCTCTAGTAATAAAATCTATGGAATGATTGCCTGATCAAGCCTCGTCTCCCGTCTGCTCTGGCACATGTTCTCCTAAGTTCACACCGTGTGCCAGGTACCTTGGCCCACCATCAAACATTAGAGGACCAGAATCATTAACCAAGCGGGCCTGCTTCTGTTCGCCATGCTGGAACCCATTAATTAGCTCCGCAAACCACTCAGCTAGTTTGCCATCCATCTTCCTAGGCTCAATAGATAATCCATTCTGGTTCTAGCAGTGATGGAATCCCTCGACCCTTGTCAGTAGAGCATCTGGGTCAGCGGTGAGAAGCTCCAAGTACAATATCAAGTACATACATAGTAGCCGTACAAGCTTTTGGACTGTTGAGGGTGTTTCTTTCAGAATTCACTCAATCGATCATAAAAGTTATTCCTCAGCCCTTACCTCGGAGTAAGTGCACAAATAACCGTGATCGCATATTCTTCGCCTTTCAGATGCGAACAATCTTCAGGCGTCTAAAGCCTTTTCCATGACAGCTGATCAGGAACGGTCAGATTGGCCTCCTGTACTATTGATGCAATCGCTGCGGCGAGTTCTGCGCCTGAGCGGACATCCACAGCATGTATCAGTGAAATCCACATTGCATGTGTGGGGAGCAGAGTCGGCTGGAGGAGTCGAATTCGGGAGTTTGGTATTATACTTGTGTGACGGGGAGGTGTGCGTTTTATACGGAGGGGGATTGGATCGAGGATGCCAGACAAACTGGTGGTGGTGGAGGTGCTGGCAGTGTGCTTGAGCCAGCGTAGTGCCGAGACCTACATAACTAGCTAGTCGCAGACATTGCACTTAGTCCAAAGTCTGCTAACGATCGGGCATCTTCCCTACCTTTTCTTCCTCTGATGGATCGCAATTTAATTATGAAACTCCGTACTGAATGTTGAAAGCTTGGCCGGACCACTGGGGAAGGTAACGTGGCAAAGCACATTTGCCGCAAACTGTTCAGGGGCTCATCGGGGATCTGGTTTACTGCCTATAACTAAATGACGAGGAAAAAATGTTGATAAGAGAGTTAACCAGTTGTCTTGCCAAGAGTCGTACACCAGAAAACTTGTATCGCGCCTTGGGTTCTCCCTGGATACTGCTTCGAGAATACCGACGTCACATCTGACCAAGATCAACCCTCGTCCTTTCTCAGCTTCACTAGGTCCTTCTCTTCCGCAGACCATGGCATACCTTTCCGCGAGCTTCCTTGAACTCCCTTCCAAACACCTGGACTTTGTTCGATCTCAGGCTGGAGACTCGAGCGATCGGCTATGCGCGCCTCTCCATCTTCACATGCTGTTGATGGAGAAGAGTCCGATGTGCAATGTGACAGAGCCCCTTCGAATAGCCAAGAAAGGAATTGCAGACGGTCATTAAGAGGTAGAGACACGAAGTGGGACTGGAGAGTTGTGAAGGAGTCCTCTCTGGATGGCAGTTTGAAGCGAATCCGATGTCGCTTGCGAGCCTGCCCCTCAGATTGGTGTGTTTTCCGCTTCAAACTTCTAGACGTTCCGTCGACGTGGTGATGCCTGTGGGCACTATCAGGGTAGGATGAGCCCGGATCAGTGCTGCGTTGGGAGTGGTGCACTTCTTGACGGTCGCAATCACTCGTTTGAGTACCATTATCCTCCCCAACACCCCTATCGCTGGCACCTCGGAGATGACTGAGTGGGTTGTGGAGAGTGGCTGGAGGATCTGGATACGGGCAAGTTGTCTCCAAGTTGACCGGGCTGTTATCTTGCGGGACTGACGACTGGAGATCGATATCCCTCCAAGACGCGTCGTTGATAAGGATCAGCGGATCGATGGGAACGTCTTTGTGCGCTTCTGGCGGCCGGAAGGACTCCACTAGACTCTCATCCGAGCTCAAGGTACTGGGAGGCGACAGACCGTCTTCTGCATAATCTCCCGGAAAGGCGGGCGGTTCAGTTAAAATACCAGCATTGCCTTGAGGAGCACAGCGGGGAATCGGATCCGGATCCGGAGCGGGAGCCTGGATATGAGGCATCAAATTGCGTAGAGCCGCCCGCACCACGGTGGGGTTCCTCTGAAAATGTCTTCGACGCCGAATCTGGTCTCAAAGTTTCCCGTGTTTGAAGATGGGGGCTTGATGAGCCTGATGGTGTAAGCGGCGGTGTGTTCGCCCCGACAAGCACGCAAACTTCGGCCGGTGGCCGCGCAGGGAGGTGATGCTTAGGAAGCGGCAGAGTGCTTGGAGGGGAATCACGAGATGGCTTCGGGCGAAGGGGACTCGCGGATCTTGGGTTATATGCGTGGGGTGTTTTCTGTGGTAGGAATGGTTTCGTGGGATGGGGAGTCCAGGGTTTGAAGCTGTTCATATGAAAAGTGGGGAGCATAATGTGGGAAGAGGAATTTCTTTTGTGGTTATGGGAGATTGGAAAGCCGGAAGAAAGAGGAAGGACACGGAAACTGGAGGAGAAAATGCTGGCTGCAAGGAAGATCAAGTTGAGATACATCTTCTGCGGGCTCGATCGCCCTCCTTATACCTGCTCTCAGAGCTTCAAAGTCCACCATTCCACTTTCTCACTCACAAAGGCGTCAAGGCGAGTTCTGTTTCTCTCGTCCGCAGCATTCCAATGCGATCTGCTGACATGTCTCCATCTTTTGTTCGCGAGTTCTGTCGGGAAGCCAGGATGCAGTGCCCTGCGCCAATCGCGGAGCTGAAAGGGATGCGGCAATTTTGCCATTGGTCGGTAGAACAGGGCGAGGAGATATGAATCGATCCTGGTGGATTCCGAAAGACGGCCATGGACGGCGTGAAGCGCAGGCCTGGTACCAGGACAACCAAGAAACAGCCTCCCCCCAAACGAACCTTGGGAGCCAACGGATGAAGGAGATCAAAGTACCTCAGGTCAGAGGCCTAAAAAGGTAGCTGAGGATCAAGAGCCGTCGATAAAAAGACCACATGAATTGGCACGGCTGGAAGCAGCAGCCGAAGACGCCCAAAATTGCGCGTCCGTCAGCAGGACAGGGCAGACATCACGGCCGGACGGCCCCAAATCCACGATCGTCGGCAGGATGGCAGAAACCAGAATCCAAAACCACCCCGATAGCTCACAAGCCAATGTAACGACGATCACAAGGGCTCCATGTCTCAAGTCGGGCGCCCGCCTCCCCAACGACCCGTCGGCGACGCCGTCGCTGAAAGGGGGCGAACGGAGGAGGGTGGGACGGCACCATGCCGGAAAAGGGCAATAGACGGGTAATGCGGCATCCTGGAAAAATGGGGCAGTGCACCGGGGCGGGGTTTGAGGAAAGGGGAAGGGAAAAGGGAAAAGGGAAGAGAGAGAGTGCGTGGTCGTTCGAAGGCGAGAGGCCGGGCTTATATAGATGCAACGGACGCGTTGAGGCGGCCAGGGGACGGTGGTAAAAGCGGCGAAAGTCCGCGCTATACCGTAAGGGGCGATGGGATGGCCGGCGGCGGCAGACGGGCGGTGCAATGGGAGCCGTTCCCGGCGCCCCGCTTGCCGTCCGTTCTTTTACTAGAAGTACTAAACTATAGGAATAGATTACTATTAACTTTATTAGACTATTACTAAAGTTAAAAAGGAAAAAGGTAAAATGGCTGTTTTTAAGGTCTTGAATTAGTTAGCTGTAAGTGATTTGTTTTGTATTACTCCACCTGTTATTGGGCAGCTGGGGCTGAAATCCCGCGAATGAAGGAGAGACCGGAGTTGGACCGCAATTCCGGATATTACCTTACCTCTACCAATGCACCCTCCTTTAAATGAATCACGGCTGCTCAACAATCAGCCTTCTGGCAGTGTTGGCGCCTTGAACACGCTGGATTTTATTTTTCTGTGCTTTGTCTTTTCTTGCTCCCTCAACCTGTTTCATTACCCGTACGCCATACACGTATCCACAAGCATCATGTTCGCGTCAAGTATCCGATCGAGAGCTCTGGGATTGAGCCCACGAGCCCGGTTTGAGAATATGTATGAGAGGATCTTCCCTTGCAATGCTTCTCTTTCCCTCCTCAAAAATTGACAAATACTAATAACCATTGTTACTAGTCGTCTTCCATCTTCCACTAGCGGGCGCCGTTATAAATCCGACGAGACCCTCAACCGAATCTCCTCGAAAATCACACAACCCAAATCCCAGGGTGCCTCACAAGCGATGCTCTACGCCACCGGCCTAACAGAGGAAGACATGTCCAAGCCACAGGTCGGTATCTCCTCGGTGTGGTTCGAGGGTAACCCATGTAACATGCACTTGCATGACCTGTCCGCGATTGTGCGCGATTCCGTGCTCCGTGCGGGTTTGGTCCCTATGCGATTCAACTCAGTTGGAGTGTCGGATGGGATCAGTATGGGCACAAAGGGAATGAGATACAGCCTGCAGAGCCGGGAGCTGATCGCTGATAGCATTGAGACGGTGATGAATGCCCAGTGGTATGATGCGAATGTGTCGCTCCCGGGTTGTGATAAGAATATGCCAGGTGTGTTAATGGCGATGGGACGCACGAATCGACCTAGTATCATGGTCTATGGTGGCAGTATCAAGCCTGGATGCAGTGCAAAGGGCCAAAAGTTAGACCTGGTCAGTGCATTCCAGTCATATGGACAGTTCATCACCGGCCAGATCGACGAGAAGGAGCGGTTCGATATTATTCGCAATGCATGCCCCGGCAGAGGTGCCTGCGGTGGCATGTATACGGCTAATACGCTGGCCACGGCCATTGAGACTATGGGTATGACCGTTCCTGGTAGCAGTAGTTGCCCGGCAGACGATCACAAGAAGCTAGTTGAGTGCGAAAACATCGGCGAGGTGGTTAAGACTATGCTCCGGGAAGATATCAAGCCCAGGGATATCTTGACACGTCAAGCTTTCGAGAATGCAATGGTTGTGGTGAACGTGCTGGGTGGCAGCACTAATGCTGTTCTGCATCTGATTGCTATTGCTGACTCTGTCGGTATCAAGTTGACTATTGATGACTTCCAGGCAGTGTCTGACAAGACACCGTTCCTGGCTGATTTGAAGCCATCTGGAAAATACCTTATGAATGACCTATATAACATCGGTGGCACACCAGCCCTCCTTAAATATCTCCTGAAGGAGGGCTTGATCGATGGCTCAGGAATTACTGTCACTGGCAAAACAATGAAGGAGAATGTAGCCTCATGGCCTGACTTCCCTGCTGACCAGGACATCATCCGCCCCCTCAGCAACCCTATCAAACCATCTGGTCATCTCCAGATTCTTCGCGGATCGCTGGCCCCGGGCGGTTCCGTGGGTAAGATTACTGGTAAGGAGGGTCTGCGGTTTGAGGGTATAGCCAAGTGCTATGACAACGAAGATGCATTCATTGAGTCCCTTGAGCGGGCGGAGATCAAGAAGGGCGAGAAAACAGTCGTGATTATCCGGTATGAGGGTCCCAAGGGTGGCCCAGGAATGCCTGAGATGCTCAAGCCCAGCGCGGCCATTATGGGTGCCGGACTTGGCCAGGACGTTGCGCTTCTCACAGATGGGAGATTCTCGGGTGGCAGTCACGGATTCTTGATCGGACATATCGTGCCGGAAGCCATGGAGGGCGGCCCGATCGCGTTGGTACGAGACGGTGATCGGATCGTGATTGATGCTGAGGATAGAGTGGTTGATCTGGATATCCCTACTGAAGAGCTCGAGGAGAGGAGGAAGGAGTGGAACGCACCCCCGCTCCGATACCAGAAGGGAACTTTGAAGAAGTATTGCACGCTGGTCAGCGATGCCAGCCATGGTTGTGTCACGGACGGACCGATCTAGGTATCCGGTCCAAATGTACGAAGACAGCAGTAGATGAGAACTAAAGTCCAAGTATACATATCTTCAGTTTTCATCATAGGTTAACTTACCATATCCCCTTAGGCCCTGTAGGAGCAAATCTACATGATGATATTACTAGCCTGGATAGGTACCACTTGCGTCGATTGCCATCAGGATTTTCTACTCTAGAGCTCATAAGACGAATGAGATCAAAGGCCCAGCTGCATGTAGACTTGGGAATTGGTCTACACATGCGCATTTCGCGGCCTTCTTTCTCTGGCCAGTGAATGGAGGGCTGCCTGTGGTCGTCGCTGACCACCGTCAATACATACCACCAGGTCGCTTCCGTTGAATTGCCCTATTGATACGTACCTAGTCTACTCCAATGAGGCAGGTATATCCTGAGTATCCAATTTCCGTATTACCGATTACGTGCCTGTGACTTGCACTTCGGAGGCAGTACATAGCTAAATTGATAGGGATCCAGCCCAGACCGGTCCAAATAGAGGGGTAGCGAAGGAGTAGAATTTGGTATCACCCTCTGTTGCGTCCGATGTTTCAGTGGAGACTATCAACGACCAAGGTGCGGCCAAAAAAGGCGGAGTTGTGTCGGAAGGATCCCATCTGCATCAGATCAAGCTCTGCTGGCGAAGTAATGAACTTTCTCCGCTGCGTGATTTGACGTTATCTGGCGATCGCTTGCTTATTGTTCGGACAACTCGCTCTCCAATACCGGCTCCCCGTCAGAGACGCGAGCTATGATCCGCTCTGATTCAGCCTAAAGTGAGACTATCAAACTAATGTACGGTGTAGGGTGGTATCTACTGTAAAGGGGGGCGTACGTGCGTTGTTCCCTGCGACAGGAACCGGGTTGTGATCGAAGGATCTCAGGGATGGACACACTGAACGATCTGGTAATGAAACGATATAACGATAAAAGGAAACACAACGACAAAGGAGCCTCGCTCCGCTCTGTACAATGATAACGATACTACTGAAGCAACCTCGAAACCAAAAGAATGCTCAAATTCTCATAACTATCTGGGAGGGAACTCTCCATTAGTATGTCGGAGACCGCGGCCCTACGTTGTTCTAAGATAGGAAATATGGGAGATCTGGGGTTTCGCGGTGCCCCGGCACACTACCCCTGTATTTGGGGGCGGGAAACGGACCTAATGTATCCGCTACCGGCTAGCCCTACGGTGATCCACACGTATTCCAAATTACATACCTACTATTAAT